GCAATTGAACATGTTGAACGACCTGGCGAAAGCCATGAAGGCGTTGGACGGAAAAAAAGCAGTGTGGCAGCTGGCATAGCTGAGATGGCCGTTACTGCTCGGCGGATGTCAGTGTCCTGCACCTCGTAAGAGGTTTGTGTTTTTTGTGCGATGGCATGCTCCGAGTCCGCCCACAGCTGTTTCAGGGTGACTGACCTTGAAACTTCTATACGCCAGTTGCGTCAATTGAGCTGTATCCTGGATAGTCGTATGATCTCCGTGAGCTACGAAGTCAGCCAGGCACAGAAAGACATACTGCTCATGCCACGCACAGCCAAAGGTGCCAGTACGTCCTCCGAAGAACTTAATGCACAGTTTTCACCACGCACGGATGACGAACACAATCTCCCTGCTCATGAAGACTATTGGCAAGAGTACTAGTGTACTGAATTTCACCATGAACCACAATGATGGAGCCATGTGAATTTGGTACCATTTTCCTTTGATCAACTTGACTTTGCTTAGGGAAATCTGTGAAGATTGCTGTCGCTGTCCAAATGGAAGGTAGGTCGTAGAACAGTGAAGCAGATTTCTCAACACTTCAATATCAATCCCCTCAAGCTTAAGTATGATTTGCGCCTTCGAGAGGAAGTAATATTTGATCCTATAAGACATGAGCTCTGATGCAAGTGACGTCCTCTCTTGGTCATTGAGGTGCCGAGTGGACATGACAGTAAAATTAACAGTCTCTTTCAATTTATGTAATTTATGCCAATCCGAACCCTCTTTGATTTGAAACTGGGTGTCTTGAAGGACACTAGTTTCTTTCAACAGTGATTCAATGACTTCGCGCACCTTTAGCCTTTGAAGGGATGAGTTTTGCTGATATTTAATTGTTAGTGGTATACTGCCTTTGGATTTGTCAGAGTTATAACATCCATTGGGCGCAGTACTAGTTTCCGTAACACCAGGAAACTGCCCATGCCGTAATTCTCTTCCATCAGGTCGCTCATAGGCAATTCGGGCAGGAAATATCAGTTCGTCGCTTAGAGTGTCCGGAACCTTCCAGATGATAAATGGATGGTTGTTGTCGAGGTAATTCATTGTGACCAAGTAAAGAACAGTTGGGTATCTTTGGTATTTAATTGGTTCCGTGATTTGCCTGATTTCCCGTATCGCAGATATGTACTTGTTGCAAGTATCAAAAATCTTGGCCGAGATTTCAGCAGGGCCCGTATTGGCATGACACTCGAAGACAAAGATAGCAGTTTGCTGCATAGAATAAAGTGTACGCATAACACTTTGCGCTGCACCAAACGATGGGAAAGCATATACAGTGGTCTCACATTTTGCAATCTGGGAGTGCAACTGATCATATGTAGTAAGCAGGACACCTTCCGGTGCATGAATCTTACTAGGGTAATGTACCATTAAGGTAGCCTGGATTCCAAGTTCGTTGAGTCCATCAGCTGCTGCTTGTTGAGCTTCGACATGTTCCGGCATGATTCGATAAAGGTGCCAAGGGGGAGGGGGGAGGGAGCGACGTAGCGAAGAAAAAGAAAGAGGAGGGAGGGAAGAAGCACAAGTGCACCAGTCGCGTCTATGGACGGACACACGAGTGCAAAAACAAGAGAAGGAAGCAGAAAAAGGAGGCCGACCTCTGAAGGTGAGAACAAAAACGGGATGAGGAGAGAGTACGAGTGAACCTGTCACGTCTGTGGACAGACTCACAAGTACGTTGACTGGTTGGGAGAAAGAGTGCGCCTGTCACGTCTGTGGACAGACACCCGTAAACAACAAATTTATGACCCAAGATGCAGGATTCACACAGCACAAAAATCAGCCGTGAAACAAAATAGAAGTAAGGGAAAGTACGAGTGCACCTGTCACGTCTGTGGACAGACACACAGGTACAGTTACTCACACAGAGGAAATGAAGAAAACTCGGAGCCTTGGTGAAATGACCAGCAGAAACAAAACAAATGTGGTGAAAAAGGAGAAAAAGGAGTACGAGTGCACCTGTCACGTCTGTGGACAGACACACAAGTACAAAAGAAGTACAAAGAGGCAATGCAATACCGAGAAAAGAAAGGGGGTGCAACTGAGAAAGATGAAGAAGGGGAGAGTACGAGTGCACCTGTCACGTCTGTGGACAGACACACAAGTACAAAGAATGACAGTGAGTAATGGGAATTCTCTGGACCTCAGTCAACAGCAAAAGAGAAAGCGTTGAGCCTCAGTCAAAAAATAACTAACCGTAATGAAATGAAGTGGTAAAGAGATAAAAGGTACGAGTGCACCTGTCACGTCTGTGGACAGACACACAAGTACAGCAAAAACAAACTGAGCACAGAAAGTAATGAAGGATCCCTATTAAGTACGAGTGCACCTGTCACGTCTGTGGACAGACACACAAGTACAAACAAATTTCCAAAAAATTCTGGACCTTAGTTGTGCAGTAATGGAAAACGGAGAGTAAGTGCGTACCTGCCCAGTCCGCGGACAGACACCCAAGTACTAAGTCTGCGTACAGAGATACAAGCAAACTGAAAATTTTCAGCTCGATACCCAATCAAGCAAAGCAAAACCAGCAAAAACCTCAAAGGTAGCAGCGTACACAAGTGAATCAGTTAAGCCTGAAACTCAGGTATACACAAGTTGAATACAAACCGGTACCAGGAAGTAATTCAACCTCAGCAACCTTACACAAAAAACCAGGTTTTCCTCGCACGACAGGGAGATTCAAGCACGGCACCCTTAAGACTCCCCAGAGCAAAGAGTACCCCTACACCCGATCTGCTACACCTGCAGTTGGCACTCACCCCCACTACTTATGAGTGTGGCTACCAACTGTTTGAACCGAGAGGGGCTTGAGCCAAAGCTACGGAGGCATTTGCGCCCTTGATGCAATGTGCACTGTGGCCAGCGTGGCTAGGTAGTGAGTGGCGGCTTGCTCGGTGTGGATGTTGGAATGGCGTTGTCCAATGTGCTCTACCAGTTCTGTGATCCATCCGCCCCCCCCCTACCCGAGTCGCCAGCAGAAATAGCGATGCAGCCTGTCCGCCCGCCCGCCCGCCCGCCCGCCCTCGCCAGCAGAAATAGCGACGCAGCCCGTCCGCCCGCCCGCCCGCCGCCCGCCCGAGTCGCCAGCAGAAATAGCGACGCAGCCTGTCCGATGCTTTGTCTCCTGTGTCTGCTGTAGCCAATTTTGTCTGTTGTATTTTAGGCAAGAAAGTCTGATGAGTAGTAGTTTACATAATGATAAACGAAAATTAAACAAAAAACAAAAACACATTGCAATAAACTAAAGCTGAAAAAACACATGAAAAAACAAATGCCAACAAACAAAAACAAAAAAAACACAAAAAAACACAAATAACAAATAAAAGGATATATATGAAAACTAGGTCTGATCTAATCACCCACTGATCCATGGTATGGAATTGATCTAGTGAAGCATGGTTTATGTTGGAGTTGTCAGTGTTGAAACATTCCACTTGACGAGCATACTATGCTCTCCAGCCGTGTGATTCCCGCATAAAAAGGACATGTCTCTATTTGTTTCAATTTTTCCCAAAATGTAGGGTTTCCATAAATTGTGGTACCTCCAAAATGGATGGTTATTTCATGGAAAATCATCCATTTATAAATGGATGATTTGGGGGTACCCCCATGTTAGGAACCCCCCAAAATCTTGCCCGTTTCTAAATACCTTGAAACCAATGTTTTCGGCGGACCTCAGGATATTCCCTTCATCTCTAGATCATAGTTTTCTGCAGCAAGACAGGAGCAGCCATTGGTGTTAACTGCCACACTGGAAAGATACTTAGTGCACTTTATATTGTATCAATGTACCTAAATTTGGGAAACATAACTCACTGGTTTGCAACGTTTGCAACTCTTGACAGCTGAGCCACAGCGAAAAGCATCGGTGACCCATCTCCATTTTCTTCATCTTTCCATCGCCACGGGCCATGGCGCGGCTTCATGCCTGGCTGGTTTCGGTCCTGCTGAGTTTGACAGATGCTGCCCTTCAGGCCAGAGATGGTTAGAAAAAAACACACAAAAGAAACGACGGGATGAAACAATTTTTTGGGAATGAACTTACCCTTCCTTGTTATTCATCCTTCAGCTCTTTGTTTTTTTGAGATGAACTTCTCCGACTGAAAGCAACGACCAGATGACCTTTGGCCCAGAGTAGACAACAAATGACAGGCGATCCAAAGTGGTGCCGCTTGCAAGATGTTTTTTTCTTGATGTCAGGCTTGTGAAGATGTGATCTTGTACCTTGTCCCTTGTTGTTTTATTTGCTTGCATTCGGCCTGCCATTTCTATGCAGACTGAGAGCCGGTGTTGCCAAGATCCCTTTTAGATCCTTTTGGTTTCTGACAAATCAGGGTTGCCAAGTTTAGTCTTACACAATATCTATTTTCCCATAATATGATGAAGCTCACTTGTGATCGAATAGTCTTGTGTTGTGATTAGAACAAACGCGGTTTGTGTCAGCTGCATTTGATTACAATCCTGCAAGTATTGGCTCCAGGGTGGGTGAGGTGGGACCTCTTTGATCGTTTGGCGAAATTTGGAGTAGGGGGCGAGCGATGGATGAAGATTTTCTTGGCCATGGTGCTGTGATTTCTAATGACAGTTTGGTTGCTGGCACGTCGGCAAAAGCTGAATCAGAGCCTGCATTTCGAGCAATCGATTTGATGCACAGCACCGTGACATTTGGTAACTTGAGTCATCCTTCAATGCCTACACATGTGGACTTTCAAGCTAGACTTCAGGAGTCACAAGTTGCAGAGTTACATCCATCTCGTGCTACTTCAGGTGAACTACAACCTGATCTTTTTGGACGAGATAGTCCCCCCGCCAAATCTGATCATGGAGGATGCATTGACCTTGAGTCTGAGTCGGAGCCTCGTGAGTCAAGTCTTAACCATGTAGATGATGATGCTGGTTTTGACTTCGAAAGTGAACCTGTAAGTGGACCTGTTGTTTCAAGCGGAGTTTGGCAAAGCATGGTGAACGATTCCTTTAGTTCTTTTCGTGCTACGCATGCCGGGCTTCTTTATCCATGGGAAACTGGTACTCTTGCATGTATTTTCAGCGATGACAATGTTGTGCCTGCTCTGGAGTGTCCACCTTTGATTCATTCTGCAGCGGAAGAACCCTCTGCTAGCGTTGGTGAGAGTCAGGGCCTTACTAGTTCAAATCAGTTGGATGTGGACTGCAAATTCACCTTGGCTGTCAAAAACCTTCCTGATCTTGATTATTTCCAGCAGAAGTCGCAATCTCTGGAGTTGGCCTGCGGTCGATGGATGGAGTTGCTGTCGCTTTCTTGGGATGCATCAAGTGTTGGAGTTCAGTTAGCATTAGATTTGCAGACTGATGCGCATGGCAACTTAGCGTTGGAGTCATTGCGTGCTTGCTTTGGCACCAAATCACCATCAACGCTCCTGAAGAGGGCAGGCACTTTCCGACAGTTTGTGAAGTGGTTCAAAACAACTGAACACTATGATGATGGATGTGGATGTGCTTTTCCTTTGATGGAGAAGGTGGTATGGGATTATTTCCTATGGCTTAGACGCGAGAGAGCAATGTCATCCAAGGGTTATACGTCACCATCCACATTTCTTGAGACTGTGAGATTTGCCAAGTTCACAGTAGGATTAAAGGGTGCTGATGAAATCCTTCAGTCACGTCGGCTTTTAGGCTTTGCGGCCATTGAGAAGGGCTTGAAAGGCCCTACACGACAAGCGCCTGGCTTAGAGCTAAGTCACCTTCAGCGGCTTCACAGTGTACTCAAGTCTGGCGATAGCTTGGTTGACCGCTTGGGTGCAGCAGTTTTTCTGATTTGCATCTATGGCCGTGCGCGTTGGTCAGACCTCAGATTTGTGGAGTCGTTGAATTTTGACCGCCACAGAAATGGGTCACTTACCATTTACACGAAGGAGCACAAAACCTCAAATGTGGGCACAAGGCGTGAGCAGTTCCTTCCCATCATTGTGCCGTGGGAAGGGGTGACAAATGATTGGTGGTTGGACACCTATGTTGATGTGTGCGAGCAATTAGGTTTTGACCTCAAACGGAAACCCTTTGGACCACTGATGCCAGCTCCAAAACTGGGAGGCGGCTTTTGTGCTAGGCCCCTCACCACCAATGAAGCTGCTGTGTGGCTAAGGAGTCTTCTTGCAGGTACACCACAATCGGAGTCATTCCGATCCCATTCCTTGAAGGCCACATTACTTGGCTGGGCAGCCCGAGCAGGCCTAGACAAAGAGACCAGGGCGGTGCTAGGGCACCACTGCACAGCCCTAGCAGGGTCTGAGGTGGTCTACAGTCGGGACCTTCAGATTAGATCAATCCGAAAGCTTTCAATGATGCTTCGCAGAGTCAGAGTGGGTCTTGATTTGGAGGAGGACACCATGAAGCAGTTTGGCCTTGCAGGGACACCAGCCATGATGACACCAGCATTTTGCCCTACTACGCCTGTGCCACCTAGGCCTACCTTACCTCAGGAGACAGCGCAAGAGTCTACTGAGGAGTGCCCTGTGGGTGATACAAACCACGGGGCAGTGGAAGGTGCGTTGGAAACCATGCGAGGACTTGAGGACTTGCAGAGTTTGAAAGAGGAATGCGTCGATTTTGACGATGTCGAAATGAATGCAGACCAGTTGAGCCTTTTTCCTCAAAGTCTTGTGGTGACAGGTGCAATCGCAATTGAGTCGTCCTCAGGTAGCAGCAGTTCGAGTTCAGAATACTCGAGCTCAGATGAGAGCATCTCGGATGCGAGGCTGAAGGGTGATGTGCATTTCACTGAGCGTGTCCCTGAGGGTTTTTCATTTTTCAAGCATAGAAAGAGTGGAATAGTCCATTCAAGAAAGGATGGACAAGAGGCGTTTTCTTGCAAAACAAAGTTGACTGAAAACTTTTGCCCATTGCCTGCTGTTTTTCATGTTCGTTTGCCAAAGTGTTTGAAATGTTTTCCGAAAGACACTGAGAGGATAAGAAACTTGTCCCAGTTAACCAAAGCTGTGGATGCTGCCGTGAAGAAGGCAAAGTCATCCTAAGAGCTTACCGAAGGGTGAGACGCAAAAAGGCAGAAAGCTGCAGTAGCGGAAAGCCGCATGACAGAAAGCTGTAAACACGTGTGCAGAGAGCTGCAACGAGTTGGTTGAGTTGTGCCGGCGTGGCCTCATTTCAGCATTTGCGCCAAAGGGCTCAAGCGATGTTGAATGAAAGCATTCATGTTTGAGATTGTGCATCTTTTGCCTCAGAGTTTTTCATTTTCCATTGTCTAATTTGCTCGGACATCACTCAGGTTCAGAATGCATTCATTTGTGTGATTCGATGTCATTCCCTCAGCTGGTCAATTTTAATTTTGTGTTCTAAGCGAACCTTGCTGTGTCAGCCATGACATCTTTGGTGGACAGCAATGCTCAATTTGAGAGTCGAATGCGAGAGCTAGGCTTCCCGGCGAACTTCATTGATCAAGTCAAACAACATGGAGTACGGACATTGAGTCAACTAGCGTTTGCGCTAGGACAACCTGGGCAGCCAATTCAGGATGCAAACGTTGATGCATTCATCCAAGCAGCAACCCACCGCGCTTCCACATTGAATGAGGTGGCAAATCTGAAACGCATAGCTTTCGAGGCACAAACCTTCTTGGTGGCAACGCTTCGACAAAGTGTGGACCGCAATGAGGACGTCCCCAAGAAGATTGCACACGCAGAACGAACTTCCAGAATGGATCTACTCAAGCGGACTTTGGTGGGTGTTAACATCCAAGGGGAACTGGAACCTGCTCATTGCGTGCTGGACAAGTTCAGCCACATGTTTGAGTTGAACTCGGTAAAATACTATGAGCCTGCCAGTTGCATCAGCCGCTCATTTGAAATTGCAGGGGGCTCGAAAAACAAGGAGTTGACGCTCGAAAAGGGCGCCCTAGTTGTCAAGTCCTCTGAAGATAAGCTGACCTCCGTCACCGACACGGAAATAAAGTTACACTATGCCCTTGTGAGAAGAGCTCTCGCCCTGCAGTTTGCACAACTGATGAGTTATGATCAACATTGTGCTTGGGAAACTTTTCTTTTTGAGAGTCTTCACCGAGAGCCACCACCTGGCTATCACAAGCCAGGCCTGACACAGTTGATACAGTGCGACCGAGCAGCATGGCAGCGTCTTGGAACAACGCTCACTGACATCAGACAACAAGCAAATGGCACGTATCCTCTTGGTGAGGCTCTGTTGCGGTTGATGCATGACCCGAACATCACTTTGTATTTGACCCCACTTGCTAAAGCTCCAACTGCCAATACATCAAGTTCATGGCGACAGAGTTCTGGCCCTTACCAAGCACCCAGTTCACCATCAAAAGGGCGCGGTAAGGGCAAAGGTCGAAAAGGAGGCAAGAGCACCCCACCAATTCCAGCCGAATTGCGTGGAAAGTGGCACAAGACTGGCTCAGGAGAGCCCCTATGCTTTGGATACAATTGTGCTTCAGGTTGCAGCGACAAGTCAGTGCAGCCGGGGCAAAAGTGCGCTCGGGGATGGCATCTGTGTGCAGAGCCTAAGTGTCAGAAGCCGCATTCCCTTCGTCAGCATGGATCGCATGAGAGCACCTGATATCCGTACAAATCCATTGAGTTTAGGAGTTGGCACAACACTCGAATCGAACAGGCTTTCATGGTGGAGGTGTTTGCGGGAGCAGCTGTCTTATGCGCAACAGCAAAACAGTATGGTCTTGAAACATCTCTGGCAGTGGACAAAAATAAAAAGAAGACTGCCCGATGTGCAATTCTTCAACTCGATTTGACTGTGCCGTGCAATCAAGATCTTTTGACTCAGTGGATTCAATCCCCATTACTTTTATGGCTTCACCTTGCCCCTGTTTGTGGAACGGCAAGCCGGGCCAGAGACATTAGACGTTTTCCTGGAGACCCAAAACCCTTAAGGAGCAATGAGTTTCCAGAAGGACTGCCTTCGTTAAACGAACAAGACAGTAAAAGAGTTTTTCTTGCCAATCAGTTGTTTGAATATGCTTGCAAGCTTTTTGCAGACGCGGCAGCCTTGGGTATCGTGGTAACCATGGAAAACCCTCGTAGCAGCTACTTTTGGTTAACTTGTTGGTTTCTGGCTTTAGCAAAGCAGTGGCAGTTGTTTCGTGGTGACTTCCAAGCATGCATGCTCGGCAGCGGGAGAGATAAATGGTCCAGATTTGTCTGCAATGCTCAATTCATTGAGGCCCTCAATATCCCATGTGATGGTAAACACCAGCACCTTCCATGGGGCTTTGCACTGAACGATGAAGGCAACCAAGTTTGGGCGACTTCACTGGAGAGTCAATATCCTAGGAAGCTTTGCGTCACAGTTGTTTCCTTGGTGCTACAGTTTGCTGAGCAACGATGATTCTCAAAGCCTTTGACTTGCAGAGTGCTTCAGAAAATCCGATGCGAACAGCGCAGTTTTCTCGAATTGCGGCAGGTACTCAACCAAAGCCATCCAGAGTGCCTCCAATTGTGCCTGATTTTTCTTCAGCAGCTGTTTTTCTGGTTAAATATCCTACAGAGATACCATGCACACTGATGTCAAAACTGCAAAATCCTCTTCAACTCCATACTGTCACAGGCGCCCCTGTTGTGGTACCCAAGTTTGCACGTTTTTTACGCTTGACTGCGCGGCCCTCACCTGTTTTGGGGGAGGACCAAGGGGTTAAGGGCCGCCCATGCAAGAGGATCAAAAGCGATGCCAATAGCAAAGACGGTGAACAGCCAACGCAACTGCAAGACGTTGGCCCACCGGACCCTCTGACTGACCCTCTGAGTCAATTTGGTTATGAGGTAGCATTTGGGCTCCCATGGGACTATGAAGGCTTCATTCAAAAGGCATGCGAGACTGGCCATCCTGCAGCCAAGTACTCGTCAGTACCCTGGGAGCTGAGCAAAGCGATTGAGCAGCAGTCTTTGTGGTCAGCAGAACAGCTAGCAAACTACAGGATAGCGTGGTGCAGGAAATGGTTGAAACGTTGCAAGGAGCTCGCAGCCGATGAAGAAGTGGACAGGAATTCCAACAGATCTCCACATGTTGCTGCTGCCACTGAAGGTAAAAGAATTTTACTGACCCAAGAGATCTTGAGTGACATCGGATACGAAGACATGAGTGCGCTGGACCTTCTTCGTTCTGGGGCAACATTAGCTGGTGAAGTCCCCAAGTGTCCGGTTTTTCCCAGACAGTTTAAGCCATGTTTGCTTACGATGGAGCAGCTTGTGGAGACTTCTCAGAAGCGCAATCAAATGATTTTGAACATGACAGTGACTTCGGGATCTCCGGAGTTGGACGTTAAAATTTTGGAAGAGACAAGAGGAGCTGCTAAAGGGCTGGATTGAAGGACCCTTCGACGTGGATGCTTTGGAACCACACGCATGTATTTCAAGAAGGTTTGGTTTGGTCCAAGGCTCCAAAACAAGGATGATAGACGACTTTAGCATAAGCGGCATCAACGACACTTGCGTGATCCATAATAAGATTGACCTGCATATGATCGACACCTTCGCTGGAGCTATTCGTATGTATTTTCAAACAAGGAGCTCGTACAATTTGGACACCTGCCTGGAGGCAAAAACATACGATCTGAAAGCGGCCTACCGTCAGGTCCCCATCAAAGAGGAGCACCTCAAGTTTGCTTATTTCAGTGTGTACAACTGCGAGCTCAGACGTGTTGAAGTGTATAGGTTAAAAACACTCCCCTTCGGGGCAACCCACAGTGTCTACAACTTTTTGCGGCTGTCGCGGATGCTGTATGCTATAGCCACTCGAGCACTATACCTGTTGACAACAAATTTTTATGACGACTTCCTGTTAGCCTCTGCCCCGGAACTGAAGGAGAGCAGCAGCAGCAGTATGGAACTACTTTTATGTTGACAGGCTGGCAGTACGACAGAGCTGGAAAGAAGGCTACTGAGTTTTCGACACTGTGCAAAGCTTTGGGCGTATGTTTCGACCTTTCAGCATGCAAAGATCAAGTCCTGAAGATTGACAACACGGCTGCGCGGAAGGAAGAACTTGTCGAACAGCTACAACTTTGTATCTGTAAGGGCTCACTTGGCAAACAAGAGACGTTGGTTTTGCGTGGTCGTCTCGGCTTCGCGGACAGCTTCATTCATGGCAGGCTGGGTTCTGTAACGCTGAAACAACTCTCAGAACATGCGTATGGGCACACTGCAAAGCTTGATGCGGAGCTGAAGCTGTCCTTGGAGGTCATGTCCCAGAGGCTACGTGCTGATGAGCCTAGGTTGGTAACTGCTGGCGTTGATCGACAAATGTTTATTTTTACTGACGCAGCTTACGAACCCGAAACAAAAACTGGAGGTCTGGGTGCCGTGATTTGCGACGAACATGCTTCAGTCGTGGGATGGTTTGGCATACAACTTGACACTGAGCAGTGTGTAGCGTTTGGGGCTAATCTGAAAGACTCCATAATCTATGAGCTTGAACTTTTAGCCGCCGTTATTGCATTGGCTGCTTGGTGCAAAAACGGGTTTGGATATCTTCACACTTGGTTTGGCGACAACGACAGCGTACGTTTTGCACTCATACGTGGTACTGCCAACGGTCACATTGCCCAATCATTGCTTTCCTTTTACATGAAGCGAGAAATTTTGCAATCCGCAATGGTTTGGTTTGCGCGAGTTCCCACTGAAGCCAATATTAGCGATTTCCCTTCACGTAGACAAGAACATCCTTTGTTGAGCGCTGAATTGAACCGAAACGATCTTGCACTGCCCATACTCCAAGCCATCCTGAATGAGTTGAAAGCAGTGGGCCGCCAATGTCATTTGGGGGAAGCATGATTGGCGATCCCCCTTCTTGGAAAAGAGTCCGTATGCATGCAGCTGCAATCACTGAGCAAGACGATGAAGCTCACTTGTGATCGAATAGTCTTGTGCTGTGATTAGAACAAACGCGGTTTGTGTCAGCTGCATTTGATTACAATCCTGCAAGTATTGGCTCCAGGGTGGGTGAGGTGGGACCTCTTTGATCGTTTGGCGAAATTTGCCCACCCACCCACCCTGGTTTGGAGCGTTATCACTTTCTTCAAGTCACTGCAGAGCACCAGAACCAGTCAAAGGAAACCTCACTATGTTTCTTGAGCTTCACGGTAAAGCCGTGTTAAGCCTAACCCAACCGTTCAGCATGATTGGCGATCCCCCTTCTTGGAAAAGAGTCCGTATGCATGCAGCTGCAATCACTGAGCAAGACATATGGGATAATCCTTCCCAACTGACGAACTCATATTTTTCAGAGGGGTTGAAACCACCAACCAGTGCAACGAATTGCACGTTTTCAGTGATCGATGCACAATGGAACTTCTTCAGAATCATCCAGATGCGAAATCTGATGCAGATTCATCCCTCTAAATAGCCAAGTGATGCCTTATCTAGATACGAAGTTTTTTTCGGATTGCGTATGGTATCCGGTAATATGTAACATGTGATAGCAAACATGAAAATACATTAATTATATGATTACAAATGATTATACATATACATATAAATGTTTTTTCTTTAAGTTAAATTGAAATTATTATCATTAAACATGACGTATGTATATGTACTGTATATCCAGCATTAAGGTAGGGCCCCAACTCTACATGAGTGACGGGTGCTGCATTCATCATTCATCATTCACCACCCACTCTCCGACCACAGGAGGTTCACATTGGAACCAGTTATGGCTACAAGACCAAATGCGTTGCAACCAGAGGTGGGGGTTCCGCAGCTCACAAAGTGATGGGGGAGGCAGCAGAAATGTGGTCGAGATTCGAGAGCAGTTTCAGATACAATGTGATTCATGGATATTCATGGTGTTTTCTGAGCATTTGGATGGGATGTCCATCCAAATGGCTGGTTTGGATCATGATGTCCTAAGAATTCATATAGGTGGGATGATTCCCGCGACGAGCTTCGACCTTGACACGTATAGCTATGGATGCTTCATTTGCCCAGCAGCCAATTGTGCTCAAAACCATTGAAAACTTGTGATCGACTCTTTCCCATACAGAAAGTTCGCGCAATAAAATTTCATTCCGAATGTAACCCATGGCTCTTTTGCTGTCCGTCCTTGCTTGGACTTCCAGTGTAGCAGCCGAAGGGCCTGATTCGTCATGCTTGCTGCAGACGATGGCGGGCCAGAACCTTTCCGACGGGCTTTCGCTGCCTGATGGTTGGACTGTGTTCTGCCAGGATTGTCAATGTGCAAACCCGGCTGCCCGATCTTCTCACTGCCAAGAAGTGGGTTATTCAGTGGTTGCTCACCAACTGACACCGGAATGCTGGTGTTGCCCAGACACGACCAAGGCACAAGCCACATTCCGCGGTCAATTCGACGGGATCAACATGTACCAGTTCCAGGAAAGCTCTGCCGAGGCCATCGGGGACCCACACATCAAGACGTTGGACGGCAGAAGCTACACTCTCCTGAGCCAAGGCACATTTTTACTATGGCATCTTGCCATGGAGACAGAGTTGCCATTCTCTGGGGGAGAATCAGAATTTGAACAACATTTCACTCCATGGAACATAGCATGGATGTGCAGTACAAATGCATATCATGTGATGTCAGTACAGTTTGGCATGGAAACATTTCATGTCATGTCAGTTGTCATACATGTCCAATTCATGTGTCAACTATGGATGTTACCGTAGGCGTTTTTGTGCGAGGATCAAAAGGGCGCTGCCAATCATGGTAGCGGAGCCCTAAAGGTCAAAAGGACCTAGGGCATCCACGGGACCGTTCAGACTTGGCTCGTTAGCCAGTCTTTGCTTGGCTCTTTAGCCACCTGTTGCCATGGCTGGCACTACGGTTTCTGCAGATGATTTGGGAGCCTTGATTCAGGCAGCCACTGAAGCTGCAAATGCTGCAGCTGAAGCCACAAAGGCCTTGAAGGCCCAACAATCTTCGAGATCAAGCTTCCAGGAGGCATCAAAAGTTGTTCGTCTTCCTGAGCCTTTTGGTAGTGAAAACCATGAGGACGACTTGGCACGATGGCAGGACTTTCAAGTGAATTTTCGAGCTTGGTTGTACTATGGGAACCCTTTGTTTGAACAAGATCTACATAGAACTGAGCTGCATGGTGCAAATCCCATTCCTGCTGTTTCTGGTGAACCTGATGAGGTGCAACAGCGATGCAAACAATTGTACAGTATCTTGACAGGTCTTCTTCGAGGAAAACCTCTTCGACTGCTTCGACAGGTAACAGAGCGAAACGGCTTTGAAGTTTGGAGACAGTTGATTCAGTTGTACCTGCCCAAGACGAAATCTAGGTCCATATCGCTGTTGTCAGCCCTCATGAACATCCCCAACTTCACCACCAAGGACAGGACACTTTTGGATCAGATTCTTGGTCTTGAGCGTTTACGCTCTGAGTACGTGCGTGCCTCTGGAACTGACTTGGATGACAACATAATGTTGAGTGTGCTGGTTCGAGCTCTTCCCAAAGGGATACAACAGCACATCCAGCTGCAGATGAGTGAGAATTCAACTTACAGCCAAATCAGAGACCTGGTGCTTAGCTATGAGACCGTTACAACAACATGGAGCCCTGGAAAGATCCACAATGAGCTTGGCATTTTGCCACAACAACATCCTGTTCAGCCTTCCTACACTGGCGTTGCTCCAATGGAGATAGATCGGTTTGAGAAAGGAGGCAAGAAGGGAAAGTCAAAAGGTAAGTCCAAAGGAAAAGATACCTCCAAAGGGAAGTCCAAAGGGAAGTCCAAAGGTAAGAACGATAAGGGTAAAGGAAAAGGTACTGGCAAAGATACCTCAAAACGTGTTGCAACCCAGAATGATCAATGTTTGCATTGCGGCAAGTATGGTCACTTTAAAAGGGACTGTTGGAAGTTGAATGGAAAACCTGGTGCTTCTAGAGTGAACCAAGTCTCAGACGAGACCCAGAGCGTTGCTGGCAGTGCTGCGCCTTCGACAGCTTCGACCTCTTTGCCTTCAAGTGCTAGCGCTGTGCGTCTCTTTAGCGCTATGGCCTCACCTGTGATCGAAGAGCTTTGCAGTGAAGATTCTGACTTTGAATTGCGCGACCTCACTGTTTATGACACTGGTGGCAACATCAACATGGTTTCACATACTGAAGTTTCATTTGATGACAACCTTTGCATGGCCGACACAGCATACATGGAGCGTTTTGTGCACTTTGATATTTCATATAGCGACGATGATGATTCATGGACTGTTTGCAATTCACCCAGCTTTGACCTGCTTTCCAGTGATGTTTGCATTTCTGATGAAGTGGACTGTATTCGAGCAATTGGGTCTACCAGCCCTACGCCTGTGGAGGTGGTGCTGGACTCTGGTGCTGATGGCTCGGTTTTACCACTTGAATATGCCCACATCGGTTTGCACGATGAAAGTTTTCACAAGGACTCTGCATATGTTGATGCCCAAGGTAAGCCAATAAATGTGCGGGGAGCTAGGATTGCTGAAGTCCAACTAGGATCAGTGCGTTTCAAAGAGCGTTTCATCATTGCTGCTGTCACTTCACCACTTATTTCAATGGGTAGACTGTTGAGGGATGGATGGTGTTTGGAAAACAATGGTGGTACTATGACACTTGTGAGAGCTGGCAAGAGTATACCAGTTCATTTCAAACGAAACTCACTTTGTGCACACGGTAGCATTAGGATGCTGAATGTTGTGGACGATTCTTCAACGCCCACTGCCCAAGAGCGCAAGGAACACGTCAGAGCCCTTGCGTTGAGTGAACCACTTTCAAGTCTTGGTCGAGGTTGGATTCAACTTTCTGAAAATGTTTATGCACTACGTAGTATCTCACCTCAACATGTTGATACAACTTTTTGCGTGAGTGATGCACTATTATGGTTGCGTACAACATTGGTCAAGCATGATGATGATACATGGCACTTGGATGAGTTTTGTGAAAATATTTCAGAAATGGACTCAAGAGTTAGTCCAATTGAGTCTGCAAAGAAAGTTGTGGAGGTGATCACGATTGCCCACACGGAGTTTGTTCCACCTGAGGCCCTTGGTTTTTCAGTTTATGATGATGCGGTTGTACCTGCACTCTCAAGTTCTTTTCGTGCTTCAGCTTCATCCAGTTCAGCTCCATCTTCATCTGCACCCAGGCCTGCAGCTGATGCTAGTGCAGCGCCTGACCCTGTTCCTGCTGCCGCTGATGAACAAGAACTGCCAGTGGCTGATAGAGAAGTTGGTGTAGAAGTTAGAGAAGTTTTGATAGATGGAGTGAAGCTGGACAGCAACTCATCGCTGAACACTTTGAGAGGTGCATGCAATGCCCTTGGACTTTCGAAGGGAGGAGGCAAGGTCAAACTATTGCAAAGACTTTGGGAACACTTGCAAGCTCAAGAACTTATTGCAGCCCACTCTGCAGAACGCAACTTGCAAGGTGAACAGATGAGACCAGCTATAGGCCAACCAGTTCCCGCTGAACCAACGGAAACGCAACGTGCCCAGCACAATTTGGTGCACTACCCATATGCTGCATGGTGTGAACTCTGTGTTGCAAATCATGCCAGGCAAGATGGACATGAACCTCAACCACATGTCGACTCAGGCCACAGTTGTATTTCTTTCGACTTTGGCTATGCTGCACGAAACGATGATGATGACAAAATTTGTGCACTTTTCTTGCATGACAGGCACACTGGTGCCATGCATACGGTGCCTACACCCCAGAAAGGTGGACGTTGGCTCAACCACTTGTGCACGGAGTTTTGCAGATTCATACTTTGGCTTGGTCATGAAACAATTTCATTGAAATGCGATCAGGAACCTTCGACGTTGTCTTTGCTGGAGGCCGTGAGGAAAACATGTAGGTGCTTGGGAGTCAAAACAATTGTTGAGACTGTTGCCCCTGGCAGCCATGCTTCAAACGGAGCGGCCGAAGTTACAGTCAAGCTGCTTCGACGTCAGGCCAATTTGCTGATACAGCAACTGGAACGTGGCTGTGGAATCCCAGAAGGTACAATTGGATGTCAACACCCTTTGTATTCATGGTCACTTCTTCATGCGGCATGGTTGCATAACAGGTACGTTGTGAAACAGGGACACACTGCTTATGAACTTTGTGCAGATAGAACCTACAGTGGTCGAGTAGCCATGTTTGGTGAATGTGTCTTAGGATACCTACGACAGTCAGCCAAAGGAGCCCCACAGTGGACGAAAGGCATTTGGCTTGGGAAAACAATCAACAATGATGTCAACATCGTTGCAGTTCCTGGCAACAACCAACTGTTTGTGACACGTAGTATCAGAAGGTTTCCAAATGCGTGGAATGGTGAGATGATGAGTCAGGTGGAGACCTGCCCTTGGCAATTTTCATATGCCTCTTTAGGTTCTCAGTTGATTTTGGCCAAGAGGATTGCTCCACCAACACCAGCCCCTTTTGTTTCAGCTCCTCTCAGGGATGAAGATGCAGAAGCAGTTAGAAATGTGCCGCCCACTCCAGTTGAGGCGCCACACAAACCTGTTGTTTTGCCTGCTCCAGTTTCTGGCGTACCAGCTTTGGAAGGTGATGCGTTGGATGAGACTATGGGACAAGCTGCTGAGGCGGGGTCCCTTCCAAGTGCAGTTGGACTGCAAGTTCCTTCGACTCCATTGGATGGAGCAACACATGCTGCAGGCAGTGCTTTGGAAGCACCTTCGAGAGGCATGGACACTTCTTCAGGTGTCGTGCACCCACTTGAGACTGCATCGGAAGAGTCTGAGAGACCTTCAAAACAAGCTAGAATACTAGCTATCTTTGAGCATGAGGATGCTGAGCACCCCACAACATTTGATGATTGTGAGGTTGATGAGTTGGAAGCCTATGACTTTTCGTTGGACGAAGAGCTGAACAACAAGAGTGATGATGTCAGTGATGCTGCTTTGTTGAAACAACTTTGTTTTCCTTACTCCACTGGTGAACCTCAGCTTAGTGAAAGTGAACTACTTCGAATTGACACCATGGCCGATCACCTTGAAATTTCCAGGTTGAAAGCAATGGGAGTTTTACTTCCTGCAGACGGCTATGACTACAAAGGTCAAGCGCCCAAAAGACTGACAACAAGGATGGTGAGAGCTTGGAGAGACAAACATATAGATGGACAAAGAGTTTGGCTACGTCGATCGAGATACGTAGCACGTGAGTTTGCTTGGTTGAGTCCAGATAGACAAGATTTGTTTTCACCAGCATCTTCAGTGATCACAACAAGGTTACTGCCTACGCTCTTCATGAAGTGGAAGACTGATGGCTATGTGCTATGCTCAATAGATGTTGGTGATGCTTTTCTAATGGTTCCCCAAGAAGAACTTACACAGGTTACATGCGTTGATGCTTCAGGTGCCACCATGGAGTTTGTCCTCGGCCGTGTGCTTCCAGGCCAGAGGAACGGGTCACAGATGTGGCACGATGCTTTTAGCAGTTTCTTGCGTGACGAGCTGAAGATCACCCCTTGTGATGCATACCCCTGCCTACTTCGAGCTGAAAACTCAGAATGCGTCTTGCTGCTGCATGTCGATGATGTTCTTTGCTTGGTGAAAGAGAACTACCTGAACAACACGTTGGTACCAGCCTTGCGTGCCAAGTACAAGATATCGTTGGATGTAGTTTGCAACGAGGGTGATGAACTTACGTTCTTGAAGAGGAAACATGTAATGGTCAGCCCAAACCAGCTAGCCATACAAAGCCACCCGAAACACCTTGAAAAACTGTTTGAGCTTTTGAAGATCAAACGCAGCCTGATGCCAAAGAAGACACCTGGCCACCCACTGTTGGATGAACCCGACAACTCCAAAGAGTTGGATGCCCAATATGCAAAGATATATAGATCGTGTATTGGTATTCTTTTGTATATCTCCAGTGACTACATCGAATGTCAATACAGCATACGTGCGTTGTCGCAGTCGATGTCAAAGCCCACAGTGAACGCGTTTGCATGCTTGCGACACTTGTGTATGTACTTGTTGGGATGCATGGAAAACTGTCTTATTTTGACTTACAAAGGTCACCATGGACTTTTGCACTACACCCCTGAGGACTACACGTTGGAAGTCTTTTCAGACAGTGACTGGGCGAAACACCGCTCAACCAGGAAATCAGTTTCTTCTGGATTCATATTCCTATTTGGGAACTTACTGTATTCAAGTTCACGATCACAGAAAGCGATAGCACTCTCTTCAGCAGAAGCTGAAATTTATGCAGCAACTAGCGCATGCTGCGATGGTGCACTGTTGGAATACTGCCTGTGTTTCATTGTTGGAGGAGAGAACAAAGTGGTCACCTTCATCAAGATGGACAACTCAGCAGGCAGATCCTTTCTTTTACGTTCTGGCGTGGGACGTATTCGTCATATCAGTGTTCGTGTTTTGTGGATGCAGCAAAGAGTGAAAGAAAAAGGTTTAGTTCCTTCAAAAGTTCCCAGCCGTGAGAACCCTGCAGACTTGGGGACCAAACGGTTAGCAAAGGATAGGATGGAATACCTCATGTGTTTATGCAAAGTATACAACATGGACACCTCTGAGTTTGTTGGCATGAATGCCTATGACAAGATACAAGAACAGGACAACATGAAGGCCAGTATTCGACTTCTTAAAGAACAAGGATATAGCGCCCCCAAACAACTTCTGAGAATCCTCCTTCTCGCCTTGAGTCCTTCGGAAATGGCTATGGCAATCTCTACTGATGCAATTTCAGCTGACCTCAGCCCGACCTCAAGCTTCATGGACTACAAGAATGTGATGATAGCAACCCTGCTTACGCTGCTCTGTGGTGCATTGGCTGTTTGCTTCTACTTGCGCTTTGCACTGGGAGTTGCAAGAGGCGAGACCTTCGCCAAAGGCATGGACCAAAAGTTACATGAAGTTTTGGACATACTTGAGTCTAAAATGGGTTGGGGAATATATGAAGGAAAAGCTGAAACCCTGCAAGAGAAACAAACGTCGCCGTTACCTGAATAGTGAGATGTGTGAAGTTTCAGACGACGAATATTGGCGCCACATGCACTATGGACCACCATGGACTGATGAGCACGACGAAGCGGAAGAAGGATCCGAGTCTTCTCTGACTGCTGACCCTGAGGTATCTACCTCACATCTGTCGCCTGAGCTTAGGCAATCAATGCTGGAGACCAATGCTGTGCTTCGATCCCGAGTGGAACGCTTGGAAGCTGACTGGGAACGTGCACAGTGGCACAACGACTCCTTGGCGATGGCACAGATTGAAGGTCAAATCAGAGAAGCCCATGGAATGATGTACACCGATGTAGATGAGACTTGAAAGGTCTTACAAAGCTGTGTATAGAAGTTTTTTTTGGAGAAATGGATGGACATGCGATCCAAAGCCCTTTGCCGTGAAGGCTTAGCTGAAAGCCTTGTTGGATTGAAAGTTTAAATTTCAGTCAAAATCCGAAGGAAATTGACTGAGGCGGGGTGAACAACATTTCACTCCATGGAACATAGCATGGATGTGCAGTACAAATGCATATCATGTGATGTCAGTACAGTTTGGCATGGAAACATTTCATGTCATGTCAGTTGTCATACATGTCCAATTCATGTGTCAACTATGGATGTTACCGTAGGCGTTTTTGTGCGAGGATCAAAAGGGCGCTGCCAATCAGAATTCAAAACCCCAGTGGAATGGCAAATTTATGCACATTATTCCGGGCATCAGTCTTTTACCAAAGCCTTATTACTCATGGACATGTCTGGTGGATCCCACAAAATGCTCGAAATTACCTCACAGAAATGTGAGTGGAGAGCCCGGAAAGGACACCAGGAGTGGATTGCAGTGAAGAGTTCCGACTCTGAACTCATCTCCCTGGATGCGGCCGGAAATGATGTAACGACTTTCAACTTGGTCACGACAAACGGTGCCAAGTTTCACAATCAGGTGCACATGAACATGAAGACAAAAGTCGGCAAGACAGACATCGCCGTGCTGAGGTTGAGCTGCAGACCGAATCAAAACCTCAACCTTCATCTCACCATGGAACGCAGGCGCGAGTTGTCACTGCCAGGTATCAGGTGTTTGAATGTGTTTTATTGTTTTTATTTGGACTGGATGTAAGTGTTTGATCGAATGCACATGTGCATTTTCAATTCCAGAGTCAAGAAACATGAGCACATTGATGGGTCATTTTCTGATTGATTGTCCCGAGGAGCGATGTGAAACAGGTCGAGGGGGAGGTCAAGATGGCTCGCAAGGCATTGTCTACCTTGCAAACATCAACATCCACAGACTCGGAATTCAAGGCGGCAAAGAAGTGGCAGGACCTCGGAGGCAGTGATGAAGCAGCTGCCTACCTCCACAGCGTGGATGAGTTGTCCGACATGAGCAAGCTCCAGGAGTGCAACAGCCAAGAGGAGAAGGAGTTTGAAAAGACCTGCTCCAAACATTTGAGGGCAATGAGTTCCCATGCAATCGCCGATGCCACCTTCACGGATTTCTTGTCGGATTGCATCTATGACATGTGCAGAGGAGCTGGCGAGACAGCTGCAGAACTTGCCGCTGAGCTGCTTGCCTCGACTGCCAGCTGAGCCACCTGAGCCATGGCAATATGAGCCGTTGCCAGCCACTGAGCTATGGCATTTCAATTCCATCAATGGTTCCATTGGCAACGGTTCCATTGTTTCCTGGGTCGAGACCTCTCCCCAAGTCCAAAAATGATAAGGACTTCTGTCCTTTTTCTCTGAGATGCAATTCTCTGGGGTTTCTGTCCTTTTCGGATGGGTTTTTGACTTCCCATGCATCCCCAATTCTTATCATGTTTTCAACCTCCATTGATTGAATCAGTTCTATCATGTTATATCATGTTCTATCCCAAAGATTTTGTTCACAGCAACCCCCAAAAAAGATACTGTACAAAAGCCAAAGCCTACGAAAAAATAGTAGCAACTTACATTTTTCCCATCTTCTTGGAGGTAAATCCCCGTTTTCCTTCAGAAAAAAACCAACAAATCCCCCGATTTTTGCTGCCACGTTGCCACGTTGCGGAGGTCCTGTGAGGTGTCCTCGACACGTGTCCTATGTTGGGAATAAACCGGACACCTTTCAGATCTACCAACAGAACGGCAAGGTGCCAATGTCTGTGTCAAACATGGGAAAACGCAGTGGTGGGATAATTATGCTGGGATTGTTCATGGGATATGTACCCTCCGGTAATCAAACGTGGCAAAGGAAGAACAGTCCATAAAAATAGATAGTTTTGCCAGCAAAAAAACCTCCATTTATGGGGGATGTTCCATTGCCATGTTTGATTGTGGTGTAGAGAAAATGAATGCGTAACTTCAATGGTAGGGCCGGGATTCCGGCCCCATGTGGGGATGGCTCCATCCATCTGAAAGCTCTTCTGTTTATGAAAAAAACAGTTGGAACCGATTGAGGACGGAGGTACCGATTCCATATATTTTTGGCCTAAATTTCAGGAATATCCCCAGAAAATCTGGCCTTATATGGTACTAACGTACCTTCATTTTAGGATCCTTTTTTATTCCCATTGAGTTATCCATAACCTATGAACTGGTTCATGAACATCCATCAGCTTATTTTGGGGATGTTCTCTGGGGGCTTTGGACCAACAGATCCAACAGCAAGGATCCACTGAATGGGGAGAATTGCCGCGAAACATCCTCGAGTTCGTACGGTAGTAGCTCTTTCTTGTTCAGGCAGTGGATATGGTGCAACATGAACCAAACTATAACTGAGGTGCTTCCTACATTGCATATGCTTTGTGTTGCTGAGTCATTGCAAATACATGATGTTAAATTAACCGATTAACTTAGATTGACTGTACACTCCATATTTGGCATACGCATTATTCATGTCACACATGCATTGTATGTATCACTCTTAGTAGTTATAATTTTAATATTATTTGCTATTATATATTCATAATTACTCTACAGGATGGGGCCCCCCAGTTACAAGTTGGTTTATAACCCCATCTAAATATACGTAGTTATTTGCGTATCATACACTATTGTTATTATAGTTATGTTCACCAACTTAGCTAATGAACTCGGGCCCCATCCTGTACGCATACATTTATTTTTTTTTAAAAAACTCTGGTTATTTGTCACATCGCCACTGGTTTTGTTCACCATTTTTCAAGGGCAAATCATCATGTCATTCATGGGCCAATGGGCCATGACTTCCAGCTCGCAATTTCTTTTTTTTTACCAGAAGGGGTACCAATTGTCCATTATTCATCCAGAGTTCACCATTATTTTCATCATTCTTAACCAACTTAACCATGATTATGAGTAATTATGAGCCATGAAATAATGTGGTTTCCATCAATGGGGATACCACAAAATGGACGGTTTATAACGAAAAATCCTTTTAAAATGGATGATTTAAGGGTACCTCCATATAGATACCTCCATATCATCCCATTGTCACCAGTAGTATAGTTCATATTCTTCCATTCATATCATCCCATTCATTATAGAATATTCATGACTATTGTAGATATTACATGATATTACCATCTGGTTATTTAACAAAAAGCAATGGGAAATGAGTATCCCCATCAAAAATTTGCATTATCACCATTGATGATCTATCATTAACCATTATTAATCATTTTATAAAATAATTAATCCCCAATGATAATTAATGATGATATCATCCCCAAGTATATTTAATAATGATTATCTATCATGAACCATTATTAATCATCTACCCTCTGGTCTGGTAATTTAACATAGCTATTGAAAATGGTCATTTATAGTGAGTTTTCCCATTAAAAATGGTGATTTTCCATAGTTATGTTAGTTTACCAGAGGGTATCATTTTATTATCCCCAGTAGATCCCAGTAGTATCTCCTGGTTGCGCAGATCGATCATTCTCTCCAGTCTCCAGGTCTGCGCCCGGCGCACCGACTACGAGGGCGATTGGAGCGTTCATCTCAAGGCGAGGCGTCCGCGGCAGTTCGTTGGGACGGTCCGACGGTCCGGGATTTCACTGGCGAGCTTCCGGTCCTGGTAAACGTGGCTCATCCCATGGCTCGTAAGTGGGTTATAACCCCAATTATAAATGGGATAAGTAGGGTTAATCCACTTATAACTGGGGTTATAACGGTTATAACCCACTTACTAAGTGGGATGAGCCACCAAGTGGTAAACGTTTACATGACGAACTGGAAAATCACCATGCTATCTATCAATGGGTAAATCAATGATCTCGACTGCCATTTTCTCTTTAGCACCAGAGGGTAAACAATGTGTGTGAAACAAGTAGCAATGAAAAATGATGAAACATGGATTTGACTGGCTGAAGTCTTGATGATATTTTAAGGAAGGAAGGTGGGGAGTGCGTCTTTTCAGAACAAAGGGCTTTTGCCGGCAAACTAGGAGAGTTGACTGGCACGATGGGGACTTCGGCAACAGAGAATCAAGATGATGAGGATTTAGCACACGAAGATGGAAAGAACATGAAATGCGGCTAAATCATTGGTCAAACGTCCCAGTAGATCTTTGAATCTCAGAAGGAACAAATTGCGTAGTGCATGGGTATCCAAAGACTGGTGTGGTGGGAGCCTGCCCACGAATGTTTGGGAAGTGTCAGAGGGACTGTAACAGGCTATTCGTTTTTTCTTGTTTTCCTTGAGCTTGAGGCTTTTGCAGCGAAGCAGAAGAAAGATGGCTGTCATGGCTGCTTTGCTGTGGGCTTCAGTCGCATTTTGACCAGCTTTGCTGACAGCCGAGCACAGATTTGATTCGCGACAGCCGCTTTTCCGACTGTTTCAGCTGCCGTCGGCCATCGACTTGCGAAACAAGATGTGGCTGATCAAGCTGGCACTCTATCCATCAATGTCAGGCATCATCTCGGTCCAGTCGTTGTCAGTGGGTAAACCATCACCTTGTTGCGGTTCATATTTCACGTCATGTGGGAGATTCGGAGACTGCCATGGTGTGTGGTAAAGCCTGGCTGCCATAAACCTACCATTGGGGAATGGTTTATATCACCCATTTATGGTATTTGATGGTCATGTTGGGGATGGTTTGTGGCATTGAGTTTACCACATTAACTTTTTGACACACACACACTATGCCTGAAAACAAATCGGACCCCAATGTCCAGCAATATGCGTCCATGGGGCATGATGAGATTGTAAACGTGTTTACTTACGTGTTGCATATGGTTGGTAAGCTAAATCTCCAAGCATTTTGAGTAATCATGATTCGATTTTTCGGGATCCACTTCCTTGACCCTACCGGCAACCTAAACTTGGAATTTGAGATACCCTCTGGTAAACGTTTACATAACGAACCGGAAAATCACCTTAATTATTATTGGGAAAACTCACTATTGTTATGGCCATTTTCAATAGCGAAATGTTAAATTACCAGAGGGTACTGATTGATAATTTTCCCACTGAACATAACAATCTCAAGCCATGATCCATTGCCATAGCCTTGATTGCACAGTCAGCCTGCCAATTTGGAGCTATAAAAATATAAAATATATACAGTCAAACAGCATCCAGATAGACCATGATACGATATTCTACTATGTAAGGCTAGACTATGATAGTCTCTGTAAAGATCATGATACGAGATTGACCAAAGATACTTAATAGACCATTTATATATTCGTAGTTGTAAGTTGCAAATCGTAAAGCCAGTAATATTCGTGCAAATTTATTTTGGACTTCACTGCAGTCTCACCGTGGAAATTGCCGGATTTTGTGGGGCAACACTGGGATGATTTGGGAAATATATATAATATCTCAAAGTTTGATCAAAAATGGTGTATTCTTATGTTTTCTTCCTACTGGATCCCCACTGCCATGAATAAATGCCCGTTTTGATGAATTATGGAATAGTGGTGTAAGTTGGGGGTGATATAATAGTAATAATAATAATAGTAATAGTAATAATAATAATAGTAATATTAATAATAGTAATAATAGTAATAATAGTACTAATAGTAATAATAGTAATAATAGTAATAATAGCAATAATAGTAATAATAATAAAAACAATAATAGCAATAATAATAATTTGTCTTGTAAGCAGGTGATCGATTCGTTCTTGCTGCTCAAGCACCTGATGTCTAATTTTGGGTCGTGGGTTCAGTTTGCCTTCCAAGCTGTTCACTCGAATTTCTTTGGTTTGGCTTGTCCGGTTTACTGTACCCAGCCTGCTGTTGGTCTGCTGCTTTTCTGTGTCTGTTTTGGTTGTGGTTTGGGTGTCTTGTTCTCTGTCTACCTTGGTTGGTTTGCCCTTGGCCATCTTGGACTTTTGCCGGCCACTCCTTGTGCGCCTCGTCCTGCCACTGTTCCCGATCCGGTGCTACTGAGGTGGGCTCGCCTGTCTCAGTACTTGGATGAGCCGAGGTTCCCACGACGGCGAAACAATTGAGCTCTCCTTCAGCTACGACGGCCTTGATATCACTGTTCGTGGCTCTCCCCGCAAAGCTTCGAGATTCCTGGCCTCTGTCACTTCAGGATCCCTTGCTGGCCGTCCGGCCTCGCCGAGTCCTACCCTTGGTTCTTTTGAGCGGGTTGGTAGTGTCGTTGGTGACCCTGTTGTTTCTGTGCCCCCTCGCTTTGAGTCTCGTGACGCCATTGCTGCCGGTTTTGTGCCTTGTCCTGGTCGCCTGCTTGACTCTGCGTCGAAGTTGTCGGGTCCAGTTAGCAGTGCGGAAGGAAGGATCCGTCGTGCCTGGGAAGCTGGACAGTGGGCTCGTGCTGTTCTTGCAGAGAGGATTGGTTCTCCTAACCGTACTCCTCCTCTGGAGATTCGGTCCAGGTTCTACGCTGTGGCAAAGGCAGACGGCCTTCTTCATCCCACCATCTTCAAGAGCTCAGGCTCTTACTTCAGGGCAGTCGGAAACTTGGTGGAAAGCTCCAGTGTGTCACAGGCATTCCCCTCAGAGCTGGAGGCTCGGATCTACTTGGAAGCAGCCGGCTTCCACTCGAGCATTGAAGTCCGACCTTGATTTAGATGGCTTTGGAAACCGAAGGCATGTTGTCTCTGGATTCTCTTGTCTCTGTGGACGTGGACTTGGAACCCTACGTGTTGACATGGCCCACACATGCTCCGGATGGCGAGGACGGCTCACTGGAGGTTTATGGACTTGTGGTCTTAAAACGCCAGGGTGGGCTTTTGCTGGCCGTTCCTGCTCAGGTTTTGCCTCAAAGGGATTTGGACTTGGGAAGGGTTGGTACAGGAATCTTAGGTCCTTCCACCGAAGCAGAGGTTCCAGCGGTTATCATGGATGGAGGAAAGGTTCATGCTACTGGAGGTGCAGTGAAAGTTGTTGTGGTGGACTGCAGTTCCGAGGTGTTGCCCTTGTTGCGTCTTCCCCGTGCGTTCGAAGAGATTGCCTATGGATTCGATCTGGACTCTCCCTTTTCTCTTCCAGACCCGGGTGTTCTTCAACAGGTTGCCGCAGAGTGGATAGAAGATTCAGGTCCTCAAGGTCTTCTTGGGTTTTACTCAGCAGAGGAGCCACCAGAGGGGTTAGATCCGGATCTAGCCGCAATCCTAGAGCCAGATGGTGCCCAAAGTCCTACTGTTCAGGGGTCAGCCACTCCCGGCTCTGCAGGTCCACGAACCCCGGCGAGGGCAAAGAGATCAGCAAAGCCAAAAACTTTTGCCAAGCCAGACACTCCACAAGCGCCTGGCGTTGGAGGCGTGCCAGGAGGAAAGCCAGAGAAGCCAAAGAAGGTGACTACTGCAAACCTAGCTGTGTCCTTGGATCGTTTGTTAGAGATAGTTCCATCTCTTTCCAGTCAAGTTCAAGATCTTGCCTTGAAAACCAAGAACCTGGAGAGCCAGATCCAAGCACCTGTTTCAGCTGCGTGCCCTGTACTCCGTCGACCTCTTTCTCACTCGGTGGCAGGTGTCCCTTCGGTGCCTTTGGGTTTGACTCCGGGCCTTCCATCTCCTCCTCGGACAGCAGCTGCTCCGAACCCTGGTTTGTTGCGTTCCCCTGCGCTGACTCAGCCCCCGGAGTTGAGAGCCTTGGAAATGGACAAGCCTTTGTCACCAGACCTTCCAAGCGATGCCCATTTGGCAAAGGCAGTGTATGCTCAATCCCAGGCTTTGACTTCGCTGGTGTCTCAGATAGCAAGCAGTCATGCAGACCCCCTTGTGGATTTGAACGGAACTTCCTCTTCTGGTACCCGGGGCTCTCTAGGGCGTGCAAAGCTTCAGATGGAATTGGCAAGCCAGAGAGGCCAATTCTTCGCCTCTGTGATGTCATCGATGGCCAGAAGGATGAATCCAACAATGGTCCCGGATGCTTCTCCACAGCGCCTCATGGAATTGGGCGTTTGTGGGACAAAGTACCTAGAACGTTTCGGGGGCTACTCTCGCCACAGGGAGCTAGGTCAGTTGCAATATCAGGTGATGCAGATTCTGGACTTTCTTCAGATGGAAAACCTAGCCGCTGCCAGGGATCACACAGCTCTTTTGGCAGTAACCATAGAGCAAATGGTGATGGACAACGGAAAGATGGACCTGGCCAGCGTTCTGTGCCTTCAGGACGATTTGCCAGCCGGAATTTTCCAGAACCGAAACGCAGGTGTCTTGGCCAGAAACAAAAGCTTTTCTCCTCTGGCGGACCAGCGGTGGATCACTGTAGCCATCGCGTACCTGAAAGAGATGGACACGATAGCAGCAAAACGGAACGAAATCGCCGGAGCAGCTCCTGCGAAAGCAAGCCCTGTTTCAAGCCAACCTGGCCCAAAACCAAAACCAGGTCCCAAGAAAAAGGGGAGGGGAAAAGGTGCAGCAGCTCCCCTAGCCGAAGAGCAAGAGGAGGTTTAGCCAAAGCTGCCTCTGCATCCGATCTCCCAAAACCCCATGCCTTGACTTCCAGCTTGGATTTTTTGCATTGGGCCGTTTGCCTTCCCAGGTGGATCCTTGCTTCAAAAACCAAGTTTGGATGGTTTCTATGTAAGAGTTTTCGTGTCTTGCGACATGGTGATGCACCCATGTCAACCACAGCATTCCCACTGCCGGTGCCAAAATGTGGAATTTTTGCCGGTGGTGGCCCCGGGCTCTCAATGAAAAAGCTTCTCATTTTGTGCAAAGCTAGGGTCCTGCATGTCATTGTGATGTGTTTGAACTATTTGTACCTTGGGAGGTTTCCGTCAAATGATGAGCTTGGGAGGCGGCCAAATGAGATCCAATGCCAGATCTTTACGAGGCTCCGCTCGTTCATTGCTGTGTGTGGATTGACTCGGGAGCTGTTCCCTCTTGCCCCTGGTCGGTCCGGTCCTCAATTAGCTGCAAGTTTGATGCATTTGGAAAGCTTTGTTGAGAAGTGCTCTGAGTTCAAAGATTCCTATCGCAGGGCCGCTTCCTCTGAGCTTTATGTCGAAGATTCCAGCCTTCTTCCTGCCGATGACTTTCCCCAGCTTGTTCCTTTCAGACCTTTAGACCCTGATCGGTTGAAACTTTCTGGAAGAGGCCACTGGGATATGCAGGAGTTCATACATGGCGTGTTGTGGCTGCCTTTTGTTGAACCGGCTTTTCTTCGGCATGGTGGTGACTTGTCTGGTGCTGTTGGGCCCAATTTTGAGAATGAGAACCCTGAAGCGAACTTGAAACTTGCAAAGCTTTGGGATGTGAATGGGCTTTTGGCTTTGTTTGATGCTCCTTGTTGCCCGGGTGCTTACAGCCGTGTTTTTCAGGTCTACAAAGATGCACACCGAGACCGTCAGATCGGTGATAGGAGGCTCCCTAATGCAATGGAGTATCATGTCGCTGGCCCCAGCAAACATTTGCCACCAGGGCATCTTTTGGCAGAATTGCATGTGGATGTAAAGCACGATACCCTTCGGGGCTCAGTGACCGACCGCCGAGATTTCTATCACCAGAGCAAAGTCACTGATGCCAGAGCAAAGTCAAATTGCCTTTCTGTTCCTTTTCCCATTTCTGAGTTTCATGGCTGCGCTGCCTTTGAGGACTATCACAAAAAGAAGAACCTGGAGTCCTCTCGCCGAAAGTCGCGCTTTGAAGGGGGTGATCACCTTGCTGTATGCAATGAATCCTTTAATTCATTTGGCTCGGACGAAGTCTTCCCTGCCTTTCAGAGTTTGTTTCAAGGTGATCACCTCGGAGTTGAGTTTGCTTTGGCGGGACATGAAGGTTTGCTTTTGCATGAAGGCGTGTTGAAGAATGAGGAACGCCTCCTTGGTCACCACCCAGTTCCACCAGGTCCTCGCTGGACCGGTTTGATCATTGATGACTTCTTTGCCATAGGAGCTGAGAAAAGAAGTTTGCCTAGGGAGAAGTCTTTTGCTTATAAAGCTCTTGCCGAAGCTCGGCTTGCCTATGAAAAACACCGGCTTGAGGGCTCACCGGAGAAGGATGTTGAAGCTGAAGTTTTCTTCAAGGCAGCTGGGGCTGAGGTTGACTCTCGCGAGACCACTTTGCGTCAGAAGCTTTGTCTTGTCAGCAGTCCTTTTGCGAAACGTTTTGCCTTGTCAGCCTTGTCATTGCGCGCGGCCCGGCTTCCAGTCATCACTCCTCGGCTTGCTGCTAGACTTTCTGGAAACTGGGTGTCTTCACTTCTCTATAGAAGGTGTCTGACTTCGATTGTGGATGAGTTTTTCGGAGTCAGTGCTGGCCTTGAACTTCCTGGCGCTCCGAAAGTTGTGCCTCTGAAGAGAGCGTGTGCCCAAGAACTGTGCCTTTTGTCTGCCCTGGTTCCCATGATGAGCGCAAATGTTGGTGCAGCCTATGCTTCTTGCGTGTACGCCTCTGATGCGTCAGGTGAAGGTGGTGCTGTGGTGTCCTTGCCTTGTGAACCTTCGGTTGTGCGTTCTCTTTGGCATGCCTCTGATAAAAAGGGGAGTTACACCAGACTTGAATCCTCTGCCAGAGCTATTTTGAAGAAGCTCGTCCACGAGATAGAGCTTCCAGATGACTCTTTTGAGGAGATTGCTGTGAATGCTGAAGGAGGGCCTTTTAAGGCGCCATTGATGAAGTTTGATTTTGTTGAAATTTGTGGGGGAGCCGGTGTCATTTCGAAACATGCGAGCAACCTTGGACTTGTCACTGCTCCTTGCCTCGACATTAGTGAAAGTGCCCATTATGACTTGCGTGGTTTGCGCTTCCTTGAGTGGGTAATTTACATGATTGAGGATGGACTTTTTGCCTCCTTTCTGATTGAACCCCCTTGTACAAGTTTTTCAGCGGCTGCCTGCCCCAGTGTTAGAAGTTACACGCAGCCTCTTGGTTTTGATCGGAAGGAGGAAAAGACTCTGCATGGCAACACGTTGGCTTTCAGAACTTTTGTCCTCTTGAAGGTTGGTCGGCGGTATAAAAGACCCTGTGGCTGTGAACAACCACGTCGCTCAAAGATGATGTGGACTCATTTTTGGGAGACTCTTCGGCGACTTGGTTTTAGGGACAATATAGTAGCCTCATGTCAGTTTGGGAGCATCCACAAAAAGGAGTTTGATTTCCTTCTTTATTTGTTCGACTGCATTGGGGCAAAGTGTCCTGGCGGCCATTCTCATGTGAAAATTGAAGGAAAATGGACGAAGGGTTCTGCCACCTACCACCCTGAGCTTGGACTTTACCTTGCAAAAGCTGTGCGACGTGCTGTTTTGAGGGTCCGACGTTTGGAAAATGACGAGGTTGAGGTGCTTGGTCTTGAGAGCTTGGTAGTGAATGACTTGATGATTGCCAAGAAATGGGATCTTGAGAAAGCTTGGACTTGGAAGAAGACTCGATCCCATATCAATGTCCTTGAGAGTTTTTCTTCCGTTGCCGCTCTCAGCCTTGCTGCCTCTCGCGAGCCTGACACCAGAGTTCCTCTTGTAGTTGATTCCCAGGTTGCCCGTGGTGCTTTGTCAAAAGGTCGCAGCAGTTCGTTCTCCCTTCAGCCCAGTCTGAAACGGGCTTGCGCAGTTCAATTGGCTTTTGGACTTTTCCCGGCTTGGACTTTCTGCCCGACGCGACTGAACTGCGCAGATGATGGTTCCCGTGGAGTAGAGACTCGGGGGGTTTCGACTTTAGCCTCAATTGTGGACTTCTTGGATTTTGGTTCCCTTGTCTCCCTCCACGGAACTGGGCTCAAGCGTTTTGCGGCAAATTGGATCAGGCTTGTGGTGTTGGCCCTCATTGTTTGCCCTTCATCAGCAAAGGAAGCACAGCAGAATGGACTTTTTCTCTGTCCTGAAATCTCCTCGGCTCCTCGGTTTCTCTCTGTCTATTTGATTTCGTGCGTTGCTGTTTGGACTTTCATTGTCTGTTGGCTCTACCGTACGTCTGCGCTCTGTCGCTGGGCTGTTTCCCAATGGATTTGGTTCCTCCGTGTCTGGGCTGGCACTTTATCCGACTCGAGTGTGCTTGGTCTTGGACTTTGCCTCGGCGCCTCCATGTCTCTCTGCTGCTTTGGATTTTGGCTCCTGGGTGTCACCGGTCTTGTTTTCTCTGCTGGACTTTTCCCAGAGACTCTTGGCCTTGTCACCGTCCCTGCTTTGCGCTTGGTTGGCAAACATCCCCTTAAGATCCTTTTTCTAACTGTTCAGGGATTGCCCTTCGGGTCGCGTGGATTTGGGGCGTATGGGGCGTATGGAGCCATGGCACCTCAGAGTGAAGCTGAAAGAGCCCGAGCGGCATCCCGCAGACCGCTTGAACTCCCAGCTGACAGGCTTTTGAGAAAGGAGACAAGGAACAGGCGCATGCAGCTCTTTGCAAATTTCAGGGCTTGGCTTTGGAAAAACCACAGGGTTTCCCTTGCAAGTTTGATGAAGCAGAGGCCCCCTGACGCGGAGTTGATTTCGCATTGGCTGGTCTGTTACGGGCGGGAGATGTATGCTGCTGGAAAATCTTATAACCAATTTTCTGAAACTGTGAGCTGCATAGCGATGTTGAAACCGCTTCTTCGAAAACAGCTGACTCCGGCGTGGGACTACGCTTTCTCATGGCTGTCAGATGAACCGCATCAACATCATCCAGCGCTTCCAGTTTCAGTTCTTCTGGCTATGATGACAGTAGCCTTATCTTGGGGATGGATCTATGAAGCTTGTGTCCTAGGTCTGACCTGGGCGGGAGTTTTGCGGATAGGTGAAGTGCTCCAAGCATTTCGCCGAGATTTGGTTCTTCCTCAAGATACAGCTCCTGGAAATGCCTACGTACTCCTCAGAATTTCAGACCCAAAAACTCGAGGACGTGCGGCCCGCCATCAAGCAGCCAGGGTTGATCAGGAGGACATAGTGAAACTCCTGATTGCCACGTATGGAAAAGCAGACAGGGATGTAAAGTTGTGGCCACGTTCAGCCGCAACTTTGAGGAGCCGTTTCTCCGTGCTTTTGAAGACTCTGGACCTTCCTACTCAGAAGGTGGATGGTCAGCGCCCCTTCGACTTAGGATCGCTGCGTCCCGGTGGTGCATCTTGGATGTTGGACGTCACCGAGAACTCAGAACTGGTACGTAGAAGGGGGCGCTGGCTCAGCAATAAAGTCATGGAGATTTATTTACAAGAAGTTGCTGTTGCCACTTTCCTGCAGAAGATTCTGCCGAATCAACGAGAGAAGATCCTGTGTTTTGCCCAGCGTTTCGAAAGTGTGCTGACCTTGGTTCTTCATTATCTCGATTGGGCAGTCCCACCTTCTGCATGGTATTACCTCATGAAGGCTCAGCGAGTCGAGGAGAGTGGGGAAGAGATGCATTTTCATAGCACTTTTCAGCCTAAGACGGCTGGTGCTGCGGATCATGGAGACTCCTAGCAAGATTGCGAAAAGTGAGCACTGCTTGTCTTGTAAGCAGGTGATCGATTCGTTCTTGCTGCTCAAGCACCCCGCCCTTTTGATTTTCCCGGCCCATTTTGCTGGCCTTCATGAGTGCATTTTCATAGCACTTTTCAGCCTAAGACGGCTGGTGCTGCGGATCATGGAGACTCCTAGCAAGATTGCGAAAAGTGAGCACTGCTTAAATAGTATTAATATTTTAAATAGTAATAATAATAACTATACGTATATTTAGGGATATGATAACTATCAATTGAGCAGTCCAAAATGGGATGAGGGTCAGAACCGCAGCGGCCCGCCTTGGGTCAAGGTCTTCTGTCAGGGACGCAGCACATCTGGAATCTCAGGCAGGGACACCCGCCACAACTTTCGGAGTTCGCCGTCAAAAATACTGGGTGAATATGTTTCATTGGATTGGTTTAAGGGAAAACCTACAGGAAACCATGGATTTTACCACTAAATATTGAGGTTTCCTGTAAATTTTCCCCAACCAATCCAATGAAAGTTTGACCATCAAACATGCATGATGGCGGTTTGATGGTGGTTAGTGCAAGAATCACTGGTTGTTGGTAAAACAATCAATTTGAAATTTGTTTAAGAATCGCACATGGTGGTTGGTTAAAGTATTAAAGAATCAAGATGCTGGTGCGACTAGCCACAGATTTGGGAGTAAGCAAGAACATGCAAGAACTATCTGAAATTGAGGCATAATATTGGACATGCGATCCAATTCTTACATCCAACTGAGATTTTGTTTCTCAAAAAATCTGGATATTTGTATACATCCAACTAAGATATATTTATCAAATCTGGATATTACCGGCTATGGATTCTGGTTTTGTCTGAAAGTAGGGTGCCCCAAAATTTGTGAAGCAGTGAATCTTAAGATTTCCCCTCACTTGCCACATTGTGATGACATATTTGGGAGTGTCCAAACCACATCATATCCTATTTTTGTTCGTTTAATCCCCATCATTGACGGTATAGTCCCCATGAAAAACCATTATTTTACAGATTTCTCAAGACAGACCCCAAAATCATATCAAGTTGGGTACTTAAATCCCATGAATTCCCATTGAATTCCAATTTTTTCTAGGTGCGAAGATATGGAAAGATATCTTGTTGTGTTATGCCGCTCTAAGTGCAAACACGAAATGCAAAGCAGGAGTGCTATCTGTTTTGTCATGCGTAGCTTCGAATGCTAGGCTCAAAAGAGGGCCCTCTGGAATCGTTGTCCAGAGGCAAGACACGTAAAAGCCAAAGAGGCCGCGTCGAGAACGCCCAATGTGGTTCTGCAGCTGCATGTGGTGGTTCCAACCTGGCAAAGTGGTAAATGGATCAGTTTGGTGGCACCAAACTCACACCGGTGGAGAAGAAAGAAAAGTTCACCACGGTCCACCCAGGTTGCTGTTGTCACGCAACGTTTGAATGCATTGGCTGCAGCATTTCAAATCTCGTATGCTGGCTTGATTCGCTTGTAAAAGCGCTCGGCAATCACGATGCAAATGGTATCGTGCTCCAGTTCGGCTCACAAACAAAGAGGTTGATGTCACATCTTGCTCGTAGTAGTGAACCAAACTTTCAAGATCTTGGATTCTTTCGTCTTTGTCGTTCACCTGCTGTTGCCGCATCTGAACTCTGCAGTTCAAAAGGTGAATAGTTTGATCACGTCCACTTTCGGTTTGGGTTGATACATCTTCCAGCGCAGCTTGTTGATTCCATAGGAACGCAAAAGGTCTCATCAGTGACCAGAGCATTCTTGAGGTTTGAAACCTAGGTACAGCCATAGGTCTCGGCAGGGACCTTGTCATTCTTTCTAAAAACTGCCATGCCAGAAAAACTGTCGCCACAAACATGGAGAGGAATGTGAAGATGAAAATGACGTTGTAGGATGAAAAAGAATCTTCTGCAAAATCATCACCTCGAACTGGCTCAAGTTGATTTGTCAGCACTGCAAAACCAATGCCTTTCTGCAATCGACCAATCGCATTGCGTCTAGCTGAAGCTTGTCGTTCAGCAAGAGTTTTCTTCTTTGCTGCTTGGAAGCTCTGGTCAGAGTGCAGGGAGAAGACATGGGACCGTAAGCGGTCAGCAAGCAATTGCCGTGCTGCAATTTTGGTAACACCATCTGCCAGTTGGGTCTCTGATGAAATCCATTTCAGCTTCGTTTTCATCTCATCCATTTTCTGTTTCACAACCATGACCTCAATCTTGGATCTTCGGTCGCCTTGCATCTGTGGAACTTCAGCTTTCAGGCTATCGTAGAGCGCCTTCGCGTCGACCACCAAGGCTGACTGCATTTGGATGTCGTGGACGTCCAAGTGTCGTAACTCAAAGCCAGGAGTCACACATCCATGCCAGAAGATCAGAAGATACTCAAGAGCATCCATTGCACCAGCGCATGCTTGTGCTTCAGAGTTGAGGCTACTGCGGCTGATTCAGGGGAGTTTGTAGCTTCGCCAGTCCAAAACAACGTAGGGTTGGTCCAATTGACCTTGCAGGGCTTTCACATTCATCAGCAAAACAAAGTAGCCGCCTTGGGACTCATGGTTCTTTCGAACGCCCCAGGCTGCATCGCTCAAAGCTATCATGCATAGCTCATGTAGCTGGCCAAGGTCAGAAAATTGGAGTCCAACGTCGCTGTTGGCTTTGGCAAATCTCAGCAGCTTGTTTGCTTGGGTAGCTGTGGAAACTGTTGCGGCGCTCACTTCGCCACACAAAAGACTCACGCTTGCACTGAGGTGCGGTGAAGTCTGGGTTGCTGGCCATTGAAGCGCTCCTAGAAGACCACGGAGCATTGTCACTTCTCTGACAGTCAATTCACGATTCTCATCTGATGAATCGCTCAAGGTCAAAGGTTTGATCTTTTGGACGTACGCCTGTTGGCGCAACCACCAGCCACCTTTTCCATCAGCCTCAAGGTCACAACCGCAAAACTGTAGTTGACCAGTTTCTTTTCCTTCAGTCCAATGTTTGAAGTTGAAACTCTCATGAAGAGCCTGTTTTGCCTTCTGGTAGACTTCATCGGATTCAAGTCCAGCACCGATGAGATCATCAACATGAATGCCGATCATTGAAACCAATTGATCACCATGAAAAAGGCAATAAAGGCATTGATCTAGTGGATGTGGTTGGTATCCTGCAGCAATCAATCTTCTGCGGGCAACTTGAAACCATCTTCTTGGAGCATCGGCTTGCCCGTAAATGGGTTTGAGAAGTCGCATCAGTGTACCGGCTGGCACACCAATCAGCTGGCAAGCGTCTTTGGGAATTCTGGCCCACAAAATTCGCTTCTGTGGATCGCCTTGAAGAAAGGTTGTCGCAACATCAGAAATGAAAATAAGCCAGGATTTGCAAGTTGCAATTGCCAGGAGAATCTGCCGTGAGGATCGGCTCAAGGTAGGGGAAGATGTGTCAAGCTCTCCTCGTAGTAGATCTGGATCAGAAAATCCTTGAAGAACCAAACGTGCTTTTGCGCGTGGGTTGCCATTGTTGTCGGCAGACCACTTCAGCACAAACCGTGCTTTCATCGCGCGGTTCCAATCGACCTTCTCAGGATGGAGCTCAATCTCCCAAACTTGATTCTCAAAAATGGAGGCCAACTCAGCCCTCGATGAACGCCAGGCGGTCTTCAAGACTCATTCGGCTTTCCTTCAGGTCAGCTGAATCCTTGACGTTCTTCTTCTTGGGCGCAGCTTGGGCAGACCAGATATGGCCATGGCTTCGGATGGTTTTGTTGTTGAACTTCTTCGACAGGTCGCCAACGTAGTTTTGGCCAAACTCAGCTGCAGCATCTTTGGTCAGTGGGTACAAGGTCTTTCCAAACCATGGTTCATCACCCACAGGGGCAGGCTGCTCCTCGTTGACCAAGATGATGCGGCTGTTGCGTCTCATTGTCAGGCCATTTGTGGTCTGGAGCTTCTCGGCAGGCAAGGGAAAATCTGTTGTATGAAAAGTGCAATCCCTTGACCAAACATGGTTTCTAACCAAAAATCCATCTTCAAAGCTCCAAAAATCTGCTGTGGAACCAAGGTAGATCTCATGGGTTTTCGGATCATAATGCCATCCAGCTGGAAGGTTGGTTGAGCCTTCGCAGCCATTTGGAAAGAGTTCGACAGCGATGTTGACCGATTCACGGTGCTTGGCACGCTTTGAATTGCCAGGGCTTTGAGGATCAGGGTGATCATGCACCAGTGGCCACAATGGAGATCGCATCCAAGAAGTCTCACTTCGTTCATGTTGCCGTCGGCGTTCAGCAAAGGAAAGTCCAGGAAGTTGTGGAGGTGCCTCAGGCATTGAAGATTGGGTGACGGTGTTGTCAGCTGCAATGGTGGGCTGATCAGCTTCACTGTCATCACCATCAGGGATTGGAACATCTTGCGGAAGAGGTTCAGGCATGAGTCCAGCACCTGCCTCTCCGCTGGAGGGCGCTGCTGCTGCTTCAGCTTGCTGTGAGGGTTGTGGCTCTTCAGAGTCGCGCAAACCCAAATCAAGCGCCTTGACTCATCCGGTAAGTCCAAACCGGGATCCGTTGGCAAGTCCAAGCCAGAAGACGGATCAGCCACAGGAAGAGGTGGATCTTCAGCAGGATCTTTTGGCAAATCATCGATGGGTTCAGTTGGCTCATAGGAAAATGATCGCACTGATTCAGGTCGTGCTGCTGGGGCATCTTGCTCACCTTGATCAGGAGGATGGTTGGTCTTGGCTTTCTTTGGAGAAGGTTGCTCCAAGGTGTGCTGGTTGATGCGCCGCAAATCGGCTGTTCGGACAACTCGCCGTTGACGGAGACCAGCAATGGCTTGTTCAGCACGTTGAGCTCCATTGACAAGACCTTCTTGGCCAACAAGTCGTCGAACATGTTGACGTCCGGCACGGATGAGCACAGTGCCGTGGGCAATCCAATAGGTGTCAATGGTGCCAGTGTCTGGGTCTCGTTGAACAGCAACGACCGTGGCAGGGCCTTTCCACTGAACCGTGTGGAATCGATTGCCAACTTCTCGCCAGTAAAGGCATCGTTCACCTGGCTGTAGATCTTCATCAGCACCTGAAAAGCGTCGGAGTAGAGCACGTCGAAGTTTGACGTCAATCTCCGCAACAGCACATGCGTTTTGGGCACTTGCTTTGAGTTCAAGTCGTCGTCGTAGTCGATCTTGTTCAGTTTGTTGAAGTTGAATTGGACCAGTGCGCTCGTCAGAGATGAGTCCAGGCATGTTTGGTTGTTTTCCCAGGGCAAGTTGCATAGGAGTAAATCCATTCACAAAGGTACATTGATTCAATGTGGGCACTGTCCAGTTCAAGGCCGTGTGAAGTCCATCAAGGCCACGTAGTCCATTTTCTGTCATGAAGATGGAGAGTGCTTTGCGAAGGAGTTGGTGTCTTCGCTGCACAATTGAAGTTCGTGAATGACTTTGCCCAGGGGAAATCTTCATCTCTATGTCGTGGTCGCCAGACCATTGCATCATAGCGTCACTGCCCCATCCAGACCATTCATCAACGCTCAGCTGCTTCGGAGGGCCAAAGTAGCGAATCCATTCACGTTCAACTGCTTTCATGAGGGAGTTGCTTGATTCATCAGGAATGGTTCGCACAGCCATGAAGCGAGTTGCAGAATCGACCATGACCAACATGCCAATCTTCCGCTTGGAAGCTTTGTCAGAAGGGGCATCAGGCCCGACTGAGCTCAAATCAAACCACAAGGTGTCGGCCTGAAGCTGCTCATTGAAGTCCATGGGACGCTCGGCATGAGCTGGAGCTGATTGTTTCCTGGAAGAAAACTTGTTGCAGTAGGGGCACTCAAGGGCTTCGGCTGCAGCGATGACCTTTGGGTCGGCATTCTTGGTCATGTTTCGTATTGTCCCATGTTCTCAAATTGGCAGTGGCACCCTGGTTGGCATAAATTATTAAAGACACCCTTGCATAAACATTAGTTTCTGAAATTTCATTTTTTAGACGAGAAATCCGCGAAAGGTTCGCGAAAGGTCCGCGAAAGGTTCGCGAAAGGTGAATCCTCCCGGACCTAACCCTGGCCCAAAATGGGCTAGTTCTTTCTGCAATGTCGCAACTTCAAAAGCTTTTCAAAGAATGGGTGCAAGCCAATGTCCAGAAGTCAAACGTCCTCACGTAACACTGACTTGCCCAATGCCATCGACTCTGTGGACTGGAACAGACTCATCACGCACAGCAAGAATGTAACTAACTAGAGCAGCTTTGAAAACGGATCTCCAAGAAGTAATGTTTTTAAATGCAATCCTCCTGTAAATCTTTGTGACGAATTTGCACACGAAAACCTGATCATAATCCCATGTCCCGATTCAGCTGGGGCGCGAAAGGGCGCGAAAGGTTCGCGAAAGCGCGGCGTAAGGGCAGTTTTCGGGTACCATAATTTTGAACAACCCCCATATTATATATATTATATATATATATACATTATATATATATTATATACTATATATATATATTATATGTATTATATATACTATATATATATATATATTATATTATATATATATTATAGTATGTGTGTGTGACTCTGTGTATTACTTTGGGAGCTGGCACATGGCAAGGCGCAAGCATCTACATTTTGTGCCATGACGAACAGTCAACAATCCAGTACCATCGGCCAACCAAGGTGGGATGCCATCGCTCCATGGCACACATCTCCAAGTCTGAGTGCCTAGACGACAGGCACCTTGCAAAGAGTGAGAGGGTTGCTGTCAAGGCGTTGTGTGGTTATTGTCACCGTACGGTTGTTGCGTGTTTCTTGCTGTTGTTGGTGGTGAAACTGTCGGCAAAGCAGAACTATTTCTGTTGGCTGTGCAAGTGATCCACCAGGGTTGTCATTGTGAGGTTGGACTCATGGAAGCCAGAGTTTCACATCCAAAGGTGGCAACTTGCCACCTTTTGCGGTGAAACTCTGGTTTCCTCTGGCTGCGGCAACCAGAAGGCGGGTCGCCCGTGTTTCCAAATGGAGAGCATCATCATCATCATCGACCTTGAGCCCGCTCGCTAAGTTGATTGAATTCTTGAGGACAGATGGCGTTCGACTGCGAACTGAAACCAAAATCAACCCGCCGGGCGGATATTGGCGCTCACGAAATGAGCGTTTTTATTAACCATTAAAAAAACATCGTTTCACCACAGTGCCAACTGAATTTTTCACTGTTGATTCCACATGATTTTGACATTTGAGATCCCTTTTCCGTGTATGTTTTTTTTGTGGTTGCATGAGATTTTTTTTTAAACAACGCCAAAAAACGCTAACGAGGATTTCCCTCGGCAAAATCAAGTACTGGGAATGGTATGGAATGGTTGAGAGTCTGAGAGTGACATTTTGATGGATCTTCTGACTTGGGAGTTGCGATTGGCTGCAGATGCAGCATGTACTAGTTCCTTCAGATATGGACTCCTCTTTGTCAGTCACCAGGATGATGCAGAACCGAACAACTTTGGAAAAATTGATTGATGAAAAATCTGTCCTGTCTGTCCTGTCTGCGTTGGTGCTTGTGGCTGCTAGGATTAAGACTCTTTGTGGATCAGTGATCAGTGGTCATGACCGTCGCCACAGTCGAGTCCCTCAGCACGTTTAGCTCGACCCATTCACTTTCGCGGGCCCGAAGAATTTCACCAAGGTGCACGAGTGAAACAGGGCTGGATCTAAGAACCCTGGCGGACCCTGGCAGGATTCGGGCGAAACAACGTGATTTGTAAACAACAGTGGCTTACAAATCAAGACAAGTCGGTTGCTGTTGCATTCAATTTGAAAAATTCACTGAGAATGCGGTGCATTTTTTTTGGGACTATGTTGGGGCAGCATCAGTCGATGTCAACTAATGGGATGCGAAATCCAGCATGGCCAGCCATGGAATTTCAACATTCGCATTTTTCATTGGAGAAATCAGAACATTGAATGGAAATCACCAATTTTCAATGGGAAAAGCTAAACTAACATAACATAACATCACTAATTTCAATTCCCTCTGGTAAACATACAAAAAACTATGGAAAATCACCAATGTTCAATGGGAAATTTCCACTATAGATGGGCCATTTTCAATAGCTATTTGTATGTTTACCAGCGGGTACCGCGTTTCGGGATCATGGGCCTGCCTCGTAGGTGAACGCAGCGCCATGAAAGTCCTCTACTTGCTGGGTATCACTGTCCCTGGATGTGGAAATTCATCCCATTGGTGCTCGAGTAGTGCAACACTGTTGTAGTAGACAAAAGAGATCGACAAATACAAAATCGAACATGGCAGTTTTTTTTGGGAGGTTTCTCTAACTGCAATTTTGGCAGGTGTTTAAAAACACTGTTTCATCAATCTTGGATGGTTCGTGAAGCCTGAGTCAACACTGCATAGATGTGTGTTCACGTGGTAGTCATGGACCAATTTGGGCAAGTTTGGAAATGGGGGAGGATCCAACCATTGGTATATCGCGGTATCCCCTGACAAACATTATGCGCAAGGTGCATTGTAAGTGGGCTGCAATTTTGTCCTGGTTCCACAGCCATATTTGATCATACGCGTGTGTTCCACAGCCATTCTTCGTGGTCCAATTGCCGTTGCGGCTTCACTTGTGGGCTTGGTCCTGATGCCTTTTCTTTTGTGGGCGTTCTATTTCACTTCATTGAATTCGCATTGTTTTTCTCAGAGTTTCAATTTTGAAAACCATATTGTTGTGGCTACAATCCCAGTGTTTTCTTCGTCATACCCAAACTCCAATTGAATTCTGCATTTCTGTGGACGAAATTATGGATCCCGCGATCATATGAAATACCTGTCCATGTTGCCCCACCCAAATGAATTGGTACTATACTTGACCAGGCGTTTCTGTTTTTTTTTTTCTGCGGCGCTTAATATTAGGGGCAACGATTGTTGAATACAGTTTTTTTGCGGATGAAATTCGTATTTGCATCCTGCAACATGGTTGAAGTTGGTTCGCTAGTGGACTTTGTTCCAACATAGTAGGCAAACGCATAGACGAATATAGACATCTAAATAAGTTGATATGGGAAGCAATAGGTAGATCTATAGTCAATCAAGCATTTATGGTTATATGATGATATCCATGATTATACCTGTGGTTATACCGATGATCAATTTATATACAATGATTTCTAAAAATCTTCCATCGGTATACCATGGTATACCTATGCTTACTGTAAAGGTATAATAATGTACAATACACATATATATATATATGTCCATACATTATATATATATATTCTGGATAAAGTATAACCGTTGCGGTATGTCACCGGGATGATGAGCGTGATTTGAAGGTGGCGGCGTCCTCCTCGCTGGAGGATGAAGTAGCCATGCTGCGCGCCGAGGTGGTGCTGAATAAGTTGTTCCTCCAGCAGTCTGATTTTAATCATTAATCATTAATCCTTAATCATAAATGATCACTAATCCCCAATTAATATGGAACTTATCTAAATAATGATCATTAATCCCCAATCACCTTAAGAATCATAGGGAGATTTGGGAGATGGAGATAGTGGGATATTCCAGATGTTTATAATGGTGAATAAGATGACATGGGATTCTGATGGGTTGAGGATAGTGGGATAACCGGGGATACCATGGAAGATATGGAAGATAGGATTCTGATCGCCGAGAATCTGACTTGTCAATTGGTATATATAATTATGGTAACCGACAGAATTATGGAGAAGAAAAAACGTTCAACTTAGACAGGCGGCGCCTGCGTCCGATTTTCCACAAATGGGATTTTTCCCCATAAGGGTTCAAAATATCCCGGAAGTGATCCGAACCTTTTTTTTTTCCATAATTCTTGGAGGTGGCCATTATTTCCATAATTGATTTTTCCTGCGAAATCAGGGGGCTAGGGCAGATTGACCGGTTTTTCCATAATTATTTTTTCCATAATTAATGTTTGGGGCTCCACCTGTTGGACATGTCATGGATCCACAATTCAAACCCGTTACATGTACATACCCGTATACATGATATTATGTATATCAGTGGCGGGCTTTAGGGGCATATACCAGATCTTTAGACACATATTTTCTATAATTCAATATTCCCCCTTAAAATGCATTCAAATTGCGAACATCACATGATATTATGTATATCAGTGGAAGACTTAGGGGCATATACCAGATCTTTAGACACATATTTTCTATAATTCAATATTCCCCCTTAAAATGCATTCAAATTGCGAATCGATGGACATACAGTCACCGACAGAATTATGGAAAAAAACAATTATGGAAACAATAATTATGGGAAAAAAAGGTTCGTAACTGTTCTATCATAGACAGGCGGCGCCTGTAAATTGAAACGTTTTTTTTCCCCACCTGCCAGGTGAGGGTTGTTAGATTTTATGTCAGTTGCCTCCTCCTGCCTCGTCCTCCTCCTCCTCTCCTCCTCGTCCTCCTCAACCACGACCAGCCACGCCCAGTGTTCCCTGCCGGACCTCAACCACGACCAGCCACGCCCAGTGTTCCCTGCCGGACCTCATCTGCGAGTATCCATGCCAAGTGTTCCCTGCCGGACCTCATGTAGGAAGATATGGGACAAAGAGAATGCCAGAAGATATGCCAGATAAAATGCCATGAGATATGCCAGATAGAATGCCAGAAGGTATGCCAGATAGAATGGCCTATAAAATGTCAGAGAAGTATGTTATATATTATTTGCAAAGTCGTGTGTGTGTGGTAGTGTGATCGCGGCAATGCCACTTCTTACTTTGCGGGTGGCAGAGACATTTCCACTTCTGTACCTTTGGAGCTGTTTGCAAAGACGCTTGAGACAGGCAACATCTTACAGCAAGTTACTACAAATTACTTGAAGTGATCTCATGCTGGATTGATGCTGGGGTTCACGGAGCAACTGGGGTTCACGGAGCAAGTGGAGTTCACGGAGCAAGTGGAGGAGCTTTTACGCAAAGGCCCTCCTACCTACTTGCGAGAACTGACTGACAAGTTGGAAGCCAAAGCTGCTTCGACGCTGGAGCGGCTGCAGTCCTGGCCTGTCTATGATGCATTGCAAGCATCCTGACACAGTGCTCTGCCAGTGGGACCTAATCGGTTTTGACTGAAGAGGTCCGGGGGAGGCATAGGCCTGACACGTTGCTCTACCTGTGGGACCTAATCGGTTTTGATTGAAGAGGTCTGGTGGAGGAATAGAGAGTTGCAGCTGCAGCGATCTGATGAAGTAACACTGGCATGGTTTTGTCGAGTTTACACGTGAGCTTGCGAGCCTTTGACTTTGGTTCAGGGGTCCACTGGCTTGGTTCAGTCATGTTTGTACAAACATGTTTGACAGGCGGCGTGCTGACATGTTTGGGCATGTTTGTTTGTTTGGCTCAGGTGGTCCACTGGCCTGTTTGGTCATGTTTAAACAAACCTGTTGAGAGCTCTGGAGTTTACTTCACATGGCCCACTGACATGTTTATATCCTGTTTGACAGTCTGACCTGTACAATGACCTGCCAGGTGAAACAAATGATTGGGATAGTTAGTTGGGCAAAAGTCCCGTGACAAAAGCTTCAGACAAAAGTGGTGTCAACAAGCTGTTTTGAAATGTCATGGTGGGGATCACTTGAAGTAATTTTTCCATAATTCTGTCGGGTGCTGTAATGAGATTTCCATGGTGATTTACAACGGAGACATGGAGATAAATTACCAGCAACGAATGGGGAGTTGACCAGACAACAATTGTGATTTAACACACGGAAACTTGGCAGTTCAACCTGGACAAGTTATGAAGCATGGTGGATTTCAGCTGGTAGAACTGCGGTCTGGGAAAACATGTGCCTAAAGTGGATTTGCATCCAAAATTGGATTGTTTGGTAGGAAAGATGTGAACTTTGCAGGGCCCATTGGCGCAGCATTCTTGAGCCGCCACATCAAAAATGGTGAACTGGAGAAACTGGCACTTCAAGCTGGAAAGACATGGCTCTTGACGAAAGCAACCGTCCCGGTGAAGGAAACGAGCAGTCCACCGTTGCTCACCGCGGTTGTGGATGGGAACCCCTCGTTTAGGTGAAATCCATCATCTTTGTTATGAAATTGCGATCACTTCATTTTCGTCAAGTGCGATTTGTTTGGGTCAAGACTTTCGTAGGTGAAACATCACTGGTACAGGATCAATGTTCATAAAACTGCTGGTTCTGATGGTCCAGGTGACCCATCCCCATTCATTCCATTCCAAATTCAATTTTTTTTGTTGGATCCTTCTTGGCAGGTGAAAGCACAACAACAGATGGCGCAGGACGCGGGGCGTTGTTACTCTTGATTTTCTGCAGACGGGTCAAGGGGTATTGCCTGCAAAAAGTGGCTAGGATTTCCTGCAAGCCGGTTGTGACCTTGATTTTGGAGGGGTTTGACCAACACAATTCGGGATGAAGCGTGGAAAAATGGTAGGGATTATGCCTGAAAGATTAAGGGCGTAGCAACGAACATGGAAAAGTGGGTGAGTTTTCTATATATAGGATGATCGATATTTTCATCGCAATTCTTGATGACCGGACATTATAGAACTGGACTTACATGACGTGTATATATATAATTACATATATACATACACATAGACATTATTAGATATTCATATTATATATAGATAGAGATATGCATAGATATACATATATTATGTATATATATATATACACATACACATACATAGATATACATAGATATTAATATGTATATCCATAGATCAACACCTCACCAATCCTCCAACCCTTCCGCCCCGCTTAACGCCAGGAGCAGCAAGCCTTGATCAAGGAACTGCTGGAGGAGGTCCAGCCCAGGCAGCTGCAGACCTATGCCACCTCCGCAGAGCTGGCTACACAGGTGGTGCTGGGCTCGTCGAGGAATGCTCGGAACAATCCCCGGAACAGGTTTTTTCACACCGAGGGAAGTGCCGTTTTTTTTTTCTCGTGGTTGAACACCTATGGCTTTTCGGTGATGTTACGGCTGAATTTTTTGTGGAGAGACACAGACTTTTCAGTGCGGCTATCGAGATGGTTTGACAAGGGCCCACCTTGGCTCATCAAATCCACTGGTGAAGCTCGGCCCCTCCTTTTCGCTAAACAAGAGTCGTTTGTTCAACTTGAATTATAGCTCAACTCGCAATTTGTGGTCAAATCCTGTGAAAAAAATCATGCACTGGTGGAATCCCATCGGTTTTTTCCAGAGATTTTAAGCCCCGGTGGAATCCCACCGTTCTTTCCCCACGGGGAAACCAGAGATTTCCCGCCGTTCTTGGCGCAGGTGGCAGCCCTGCAGGCCACTGACTACAGCCTGGGTGGCGCGTTGGACTCAGCCTGGATGTGCCTCTGCGGGGCCCTGGTGATGTTCATGCACCTTGGAGCTAGGAGGAAACATGCTGGGGATTCATTTATGAGGATATCATGGAGTATAGAGTCTATAAATTATGTACGGTAAATATAGACATATGATGATCTACATATATATATATATGAATATGTGTAATATGTATATATGCACACACACACATATATATATATATACGGCCAGGCCCGTTGTGTTGCCCGGAGATTTACAGGGACGTTCCCGGCATGTTGATGATGATGATGATGATTGAAGATCTTCAATGAATGTAAGAGTTTAACGGGGGTGGGAGAATTAAACCCTTATTGAAGATCTTCAATGAATGTAAGAGTTTAACGGGGGTCGGAGAAGTAAACCCTTATTGAAGATCTTCAATGAATGTAAGAGTTTAACGGGGGTGGGAGAATTAAACCCTTATTGAAGATCTTCAATGAATGTAAGAGTTTAACGGGGGTGGGAGAATTGAAGCCTTATTGAAGATCTTCAATGAATGTAAGAGTTTAACGGGGGTGGGAGAATTAAACCCTTATTTAAGATCTTCAATGAATGTAAGAGTTTAACGGGGGTCGGAGAATTAAACCCTTATTGAAGATCTTCAATGAATGTAAGAGTTTAACGGGGGTGGGAGAATTAAACCCTTATTGAAGATCTTCAATGAATGGAAGAGCTTAACGGGGGTGGGAGAATTAAAGCCTTATTGAAGATCTTCAATGAATGTAAGAGTTTAACGGGGGTGGGAGAATTAAACCCTTATTGAAGATCTTCAATGAATGTAGAAGTTTAACAGGGGTGGGAGAATTAAAGCCTTATTGGAGATCTTCAATGAATGTAGAAGTTTAACGGGGGTGGGAGAATTTATATGAGATGTATAGTGTGAAAAAAAATTCTTGTAATTTACGCTATTCTGGGCTTGGGCAACACAAGGGGCCTGTGGGTATATATATATATGTACAAGTGGTACTTCAAGATATCACATATCGAACTATATTGGGGATGTAATGAGGATAGAGTTAGACATTCATGGTATACCACCAACATCATGGGCCGGTTGATGGTTGAGGGAGAGATCCCAATGATTTTGGTGGTGGATGACTGGATTGGAAGTCCTAAAATGAATAGTCTAGTAAGTATCAGGAAGGTTTCCATACCCCATAGTCAAATGGATAGTTTCCATACCAGTTCCATACTAAACTTCCTGGATTAGCTTTCGTTTGGGCCTGGTTTCAAATTATGGAACCCCCAAATGCATGGACCCCAGTCTCGATGGGGCTATGACCATCCCTTTCCTATCGATTTGCCCAGAAATGGTACCACAAATCCAATGTTTATATTCCTTATTAGAATGACAAACTGGGGGGGGGTATACCTCCTTTCTGGAATTTTCTGGACAAAACCCACATGCCATACGAGATGATAACTATCAAATGATGACATCATTTGGGTTCAACATGCCTATTCCATGATTTTCCATGATTTTCCCATGGTTTTCCATGATTTTCCATGATTTTCCCATGGTTTGCCATGATTTTCAATGATTTTCCCGCGTTTTTCTTGCCTATTCTTGGCCCAGGCATGCCGGCTTCGGTATGTTGGAGACTGGCTCCTGCCGTGCCAAGAACGCTTCGAACGTCTTGATGAAGAACTTGGTGAACGTTTGCGTGGGCACCCTGGGATGCTTGGCAGCTCATCTGCTGAGCCTCCTGAGCTTTCATGCTGTGGGTTTCAAACGTGGTGGTGATTCTACCACGAACAAGAAATGGGATAATTTATGATGATTTAACCATTAAACACATATAGGGTTTTACCATGTTTTACCATGAAAACTTGTTACTTTAGAGAACATCACCACAAAACATTGCTGATCTTCCACTGGAGAAACCAAGCAAATCTCGGAACCCCAAAGTTTGCGAACTACCCAGGGCGGGTACCATGTCAGGGTTTCATAGGGTTTCAGGGTTTCAGGCTACATCCAGAGATTGCAAGTCAAATCTCAGGTCTTAAATCAACCATGGCCATTGGGGGATATTGGGGGATCCTTTGTCAATCAAGCTTTTTTTTATGGGAGAATCATCGAAAGAACAGGGATCTTGCACCAGGATGGTGGCTCTTTGGCTGGGCCTTTGCCTATGGCTCAGCGGGTGTGTCTTCAGGGGGGAATGGCTTCATCGGATGGCATGGACTCTTGGACTCGTCGGATGTCAAGGGAGGTGGATTTCTTGATGAATTTCAACGGGGTATACATCAATATTTTTTGCAGGGGAAACTGATGATGATTTTTCCTTCTGGAAGTAGCCCAGATCGACAAGAAAACATAAGAAAACTACCATTTGTTGATGCTTATTCAGCTGGTTTCCCAAAGCAGGATTCTGCATTGGAACGGATCCAATGAACATAGGGGGGTGATACTGGTGATACTTCTCTTTATACATCCGGGATTATCATAATCCGATATGAGAACCCCCACTAACCAACCATTCTTCCTTCGGGTGATTTTCCAATCAAGTAAACAATGGTTGGTTAGTGGGGAATCTGCGCAAAGAATGAGAAAACATTGGGAAGTCCTTCAAAATAAAAGGGAACACCCTATAATACTATAATCATGGGAAGTTTGGGAATTAATCCATTGCACGTTTGTTTTGTCTCAGAAAACAACACTTCAACTTCTCCCGAGGTTTCGCTGGATTCGACTTCTACACACAGGACACGACCACCGGCATCATCACACCTGCCACTTGCACCAGTGACGGATGCCAAAGCACTATGCTGCTCGGCCGGTGGATAGCTGGAGACCACGGTTCTGTTTCCATTCCTAACATCATTTCTTGTGTATTCTTGAGCTGCCACAACCTTTCCAAGCAGCCCCATTGTGTCAAAGTGAGACGTTGAAACCACAGAGAAACACATGATTTTTGCTTCATTTGAAGGAAGGACCCGTAAGCATCCAGGTTAAGCTTGCCTTGTTTCTTGCCTTCAAAAAGTTGAGATCAAAGTAAGCCAAAAAGTTACAAGACGCTTCAGGCATAGAAAAGATCGTATGGTATGCAGGTCGTGGTTTTTTCCCATTGAAACAGATGATACCTTTCTCTGCCATGAATCGAGACTTGTTAGCCAGTTTCTCTGAAGAGCTTGCAAGTTTTGCCATGAAAGTGTGCACTCGATGAACCAGCTTACTCCTTTCAGTGTCATCCTAAATGGTGAAAGGCAACCTGATTGGACAACACCGTATGCCTTGTCAAGATCCGTAGATATGGAAATCAGTTATTTGATACACCAGCCTCAGTGCAGCGCTCTGAAATCCTCACGTTGTCAGTTCTGCACTTGCCCAAGGCCCAGGTGTACAACATTGTACAATGATCATGCTTCAGTAACGTTTTGAAAACTGACTTGGAGCGGTTACACATGACCTAGGCTATTTTATTTGTCTCTAGCTTCGTTTAAAGTTGAGTAGATTTGAGTAGCACCCAGGTTGAGCTGGTGATCTCTGATCTGCCCTCTTGCAACCAGCAGTCCCTGGAGGATTTATAGAATAATATTGTGACTCTTCGGGTGGTATCTTTGGGGCAGTGTCGCCTTCATCACATTGCCGAGGTTGATTCCTAAGTGAACATGTCGAGAGCGTATACACTGTATACACGGGATGATGCTGTGGCATTTATCTAACGGCAGTGTCGCTTTCATTAACTACCATATCGCCGAGGTTGAGCTCTGTGCACAAGAAACTCAGGGCACGGAAACAACGTTGGAACAAGATGCACCTGCCTTTGCGCAGATGCCAAGTTTTGCATAGTGACGACGGTGATTGCGCCTTTGTTGCTTTTGCTCAGGGTTTGCAACAGGTGACTTTGCGGTCAGGACCTAGGAAGTTTGATACTTTGCAGGAGTGGATGGCCGGCCTTCACGGCCAATGGATTCTGGCGGGTGACTTCAATTTGAACACGCAAGACTCCGCCTTCTCGCATTTGTGGCAAAGCTGGGCAGGTAGAACAATTCAAACTGGTACGTATGATAGAGGTCAGTCCCCCATTGACTGCATTATCGTGGGCCCAGCTACTCCTCCTTGCGGGCCTCTCTGCGAGCCCTTCAAAGTTCCTGGCACTGATCACATGTGCCTTTCAGTCAACGTCCCCAACATGGCGTTTAGCGGTCCTGTGCCTATGAGATTCGCGCAGCACCGCAAACGAAGTCAGCAAGAACAAGGGCCGGAACTTCCTAATTGGGACTACGTGATGAGCCCTTGTCAAGTCCCCGAGGATGTGGATCGGGCTTGGTTTGATTGGTCCAGTGCCGCAGAGCACTTCCTCGTGTCCAAGGGTATCTTGAAGACTCAACGGCCGGAAGTTCGCCTGGGTCAGGTTTCTGAGTTTGTTCCTGAAGGGTCCACTCGCAGGCCACACCAAAGCGTCCAAGAGCTGGTTGCTCGCAGATTTCTTCGTCGAGCCACTGAAGCTCACTTGCAATTTGTGAAAGGCCGGTTGTCTCCTACTTTGGAGGCCAAATTGTTCCGTGATCACCCTGATCTTCGTGGTATGGCGTGGCATGAAATTGAAACGCCGCTCGTGTGGCCCTCCAAGACGTGTTGCAGCGAGAGCACGAGCAGAAAGTTGCGCACTGGAAAAAGGAAATGCAGAACTTCGGCAAAGCCTGTCGTTGTGTGAAGAAACAAGGCACAGTTGCAGCAACATTACAAAATCTGCAAGGTGAAACAATATTTGGTCGCATGAATTGCGCCCAAGAGCTTGCCCGAGATTGGGGCCCGTTGCTTTCTGAAGAACACGATGGCAACTACCGCAAATCAACGAATGGACGCTCCCCACTATCTCTATCTGTGAGCAGGACATTGGCCAGGCACTTCGCAAAGCCAAAAAATCGGCTGGAGGAGTTGATGGCTTCTCAGCGGATCTCCTTCTTGAACTCCCAAGCACGGCTATTCAACAATTGGCGCAATTGATGATGCACATGGAGACCTTGGGCTATTGGCCCCCCCCTCTGCTGAAATGGAAAGTTGTTTGCATTCCAAAAGACAGTGTTGGGCCGGGGAAAGCTTGTCCCACCATGAAGTTGAGGCCCATCAGTGTGGGTCCTTTCGTCTACCGTCTCTGGTCGGCTATTCGAGTTCGGCAAGTTGGTACCAAACTTCAACTGCTGCGGATCTTTCCGGATCAACAGGCTGGCTGTAGTCTTTCTTGTCACGGCCTTCTGATCCATGGTCAGGTTTCGGCTCTGCTTCATCAACAGACGCATGGGGTGGCGCTCGACTTTGAAAAGGCCTTTGACAGGGCCAGCTGGAAAGATGCTTTGTGGATTGCGGCTCAGGTGGGAGTGCCCCGTGACATTCTCCAGGCTTTGCAATCCCAATTTACTCATCAGCTTCGAGCCTTTGCCTTCCAAGGTGTCATGCACCCCCATTGGTTTGGCAATGCCACTGGACTGGCACAGGGCGACCCTTTTAGCCCCCTGGGTCTTGCTTTGCTCTTACTCCCGGTCCAACGCAAACTGATGTCCTAGGTGCCACAAGTTTGTTCTCTTCTCTATGCAGATGACCGAACCATCATTGGCACTGAAGAAGAGGTTCACCAAGTCGAAGAAATTTGGAATGAGTTTTGTGACAGCAATCGAATGCGCACCAATCATGCCAAAACACAGCGTTGGGAATTGACTGCAACTGGCCCAATGCGGGTGGAGAGGTTCTTGGTTGTGTGTGGGCTCCTGGTTCAGACAGCCATCAAGCAGAAACAAAGCGGTGGCAGAGTGTTGTTGCTACTGCTGAGCGCATAGCTACTTTGCCTATCGCCATTGCTCAGAGGGGCGATCTTGCCAAAGCTATGTTGACCACGAAACAAGTTTGGTCGCAGTTCATCACTGGTAGGCGCACGGAAGAAGTCCACAAAAACTGGGCTCAAACTTTTCGCAGGGCCTGTTTGCATCACCCGGGTGGACGAAGCAGCCGCTCCTTGGAAAAAGTGCTCCGGTGGGGGCATTTGTCCGACTTAGATCTGACGGGCTGCCAAAGGTTTCTGTCCACCCTCCACAGTTGGTGGGTTCGAGTTGGAAGTTGCCGGTTTGCCCAAGTTGACTTACCCCAATTGCCTGGCCTCAGCGTGGTTTCGGACACTTTAGGTAAGTGGGGTTGGGTTTGTAATGGTTGGGGAGTTTGGGGGCACCCCCAAGGTTGGACCCTCAATGTAAAGGATTGCCCGAGCAATTTCATGCGTGGATTGCACCATTTGCGGGAAGCTTGGCGAAGACGCGAGTTTGAGTTGTGGCTTGGCTCAAGTCGTCGAGATGCTCAGTTTGCTGTTGCTGCACAAATCAGGTTTTCTAATCAACTGTACAAAAAACTGGTTAAACTGCCGTCCTCTTTGGGCGGCGATGCCGTGGCTGTTGCTGTGGGTGGTATGTCCACCCCCGCCACTGCCTCTAGAGTGCCACAAGAGTGTCCGTACTGCATGGGCGCCATGGTTCCCTCGGTTGACCATATCCTTTGGTTCTGTTCTTGGGAACCGTTTGTTAAAGCTAGAGTCAGCTAGAGTTCTTCAGCGACCTCTTTCGGATTTTGTTGCCCGTATGGGTTGGGATTTAACTACCCCCAGGGATGAATCCTTTGCATTACTCACTCAGATGGGTGAGATCAGAGCACTTTAATCTGCCGCACGCGGCCGAGCCAGGAGGCTCTAAGGCTTGCAGCAGCGGCTGTGCATCTTAGCCTGTGCTAGCTGGGTGTACTTCAAAGCTCTATGAATCTGGAGCACGCTGCCGAGCCGGGTGGTTCTCAGGCTTGCTGCAGCGGCCGTGCATCTCAGCCAGTGCTAGCTGGGTGTACTTCAAAGCTCTATAGGACCTAGGAAGTTGCGAAAAGTGGCTTTTAGCCGTTTGCATAGAAATGCTCGCTACAAAGCCATGTGGGACGGAAATTGCCCAAGAGAGGTTTCCCAGACATGTGGTTAGCATGAATCTCTTGCTGAAATTCAAAGACCTGGTGCTTGGGGACCAGATGTTGAAATTTGCGCTTTACCGAACGTTTTGCAGTCAACACTACAATTTTTTGTGGATCGGTTTTGAAGACTTTTTCGGTCAGTGAACCCATTTTCGGGCATATCTGGTTGCAGCTGGAAAATGGTCATTTTTCTTGCTTGAGCCAGACAGATGGAAAACAGAGACTTGATAACCATCGAAAATGGCAATGGTTCAACGGTTTTTGGAAAAAGGGCGCCACGAGCACCACCTTCTTATCACGGCCTTCGACGGGTTTTTGCAATAGGGTTTGGGAAAAGATGAGTGCCTGCTTAGTCACCACTGTCCCTTGGAGAGGTGGATCGGCTCGCACCACCAGAAAGAAACAGAATCAGCATAACAGCATGAATGCCTTGCGTAACCTGAAACTGCCTGATCACCTCAGTTTTCTGTCTCCTTTGATTCCTTTACTTGTGGACTTGCTCACACAGTACGAACCACAAAAGACAAAGAAAAAGAAATTGAGATACACACCGACATCTGCACCAAAGACCCCTGTTGAAAAGGAGTCGACACCTCTCAAAAAAGAGTGCTGGTATCACAAGCATGGTACATGTCGCTTTGGAAACAAGTGCTATTACTCTCATGAATGCACGCCTGAGAGAAAAACACCTGAAAAGAGATCGGTCTCTCACCCGGCTCCAAGAAAGCCGCCTTCTCAGCCATGGGAGATGCGCCCTCAGGATTGGAATGCCAAAGTGTATACTCTTGATGCTTTCAGCAACCAGCTTGACAATGTTGACAATGCCTCGTCCCTGAAGGCCATTGTCAAAATTGACACCGAGAAAGAAGTAGAGTCGGTTAAGGAATTAGTTGAGCAGTCCAGCTCTAACAATTTTGACCTGCAAGTGTTGGCTGTTCAGCCGTGCCACGATCCAGCCATGGCAACTGCAAATGGACATGAGGTAGTTTTTGCCCCAGTGAGACTAAGTGCCGCACAGCAAGCGCCACGCCCAAAACTTCAGAAACAGTTGTCATGAGAATCGCTGCGGAAGAGCGATTTGCACTCCTGAGCAATGGAGATCAATCAAGCAGAGACCTGCGCAGGCAGCTCGACAGTGGGCTGAACAGCACGTCGGCAAAGAGAAATCCAAGAAAACCTTGGACGCCTGGCAATTCTCTGAGAAATATTTCAAAAGCGCGGTCTTGATGGGGTTGATTCGAGTCGATAAGACAATTGCGCTTGAACTAGCTGCATGCAGTGGTCAAAAGCAGTGGTTTTGTGAACCTTTGAGCTGGAAAGACATTGGGATTCCAAATCCCGGCATCAAATGGCTTCCGCAAGCCAAGGATGAGAAAATTGAAGATTACGTCAGACGAGCTCTAGATGAAGAGCCTAAGTATGGAATCACTAGAGGTGAGGTCCAGCTGGGCATTCGAAATAAGAAAGATGAAAAGCAGCAGGTCACTAGGAATTGGAAGGTTCAAGGTGTCCCTGATCCTTGGGATCAAGAAACTCTTGAATCTGTCCCCCAGAAGGACTTGCCTCTCCAAAATGTGACATGTACAAGCAGGACGAAAGAGCGCAAAGGTAAGTCGACTTGGCAGATTCGCGCTATGAGCCTCCCAGCCCAAGACTTTTTTGAGCTGAAATTTGCCGATTTCAACATCATTGCCTTTGTCATCACCACACGTGCCAAATCTGCCTACCCCGCCAAGCAGATTGCCAATGCACGAACTGTTGCTGTTGGAAAAGTTGATGTGCTTTCTGAAACGAAACCGCTTGAGATTCCACCGACAATCCTAGAGGACTCCCAAGATGCCGATATGGAAGGAAAATCAGAAGAGAACGAACGCTCCAAACCAGAGAAGCACAACGCTTCTCTTCACAAGGGGCAGCAACCGGCAAAGCGAAGCATTCCCGTAAATCCTTTCAACATGTTCAGCGTCAGGTTCTTGATGTTGCTGATGTTACTGATGCCACATGGAATTCGAAGTGGAATGCCGAAACACAAGAATTTTTTCTTCAATTTTTGCAAGCTGGACAAGTTTCGCTCACAGACAGACCGGGGTGGATGCATCTGTGTGCTCGCCGGCAAGTAAAGACCGTTCTTCACAAGGTGTTCTTCCCACTCAATTGGATAAATCATGATAAATCCCAAGATGGTGAACACCAAGATGAAGCTATGAATTGGGGCAGAAGGACAGTCCCAAAAGAACAAGGCGGAAGAGAGTCCGGAGAAACGAGATCGGAAAAAGGTCAAAGTCGCTGTTTCGCCGCCAGCGCACATGAGAGTTGTTCCCAACAAGGGCGAAGGCAATTGTGTTTTCCATGCTGCTTCGCAAGGTCTCAACAAGCTCCTTAACAAAAAGCTCAGTCACCGCGAGCTTAGAGCAACTGTGTGTAAGTATCTTGAAAACCATTCAAGACAGTACCAACTTTTCTGGGATGGTTTTCAGCCGCACCCGGATGAGAACAGATGCCAGTCATGGGAAACATACCTCAAACTCCTGCGAAAAATTGGAGCTTGGGGTGGTCACCTTGAATTGCATGCAATTGCTGACGCATATAACATCAACATATGTGTTCTCACTGCTGCTGCAGAAAATTTTGGAAATCAGCAATCATGATGACAAACCAGTCCTTTACCTTTGGTTTAAAGATAGACATTACGAATGGTTGACTGGGGAAAATCCCGGCGCTCGGATCAAAGAGAAACAAATTGCGCCGTATGAGCGAGGCCGTGGAGGAGCCAAATCTAGTGCAGCTTCAGTGTGCACTGCTGAGGCAGATGTTGACGTGCTTTTTTGCCAAAAGTCAACTGCAAGTTCAGCAATTCGCACCTCTGAAGCCGATATGAGTGTCCTTGCGAAGATGCGCAACGCCGACTCCAAATGCGCAAGAGGCGTCAAAATTCAGCCTGGCGCTGCTGCCAGTAGTGCCTCTTCCAAAAGACAAAAGCTCAGCATTAATTGCAATTTGGCCACCAACAGCGCACATGATGACACCGACGGCTTTTCTTCCGCTGAACTTGACTCACCTCAAAATGAGGCCAATGTTAAAGCAGACGACAGGAAACAATCCGAAGGATAGAAGTGTCCTCTGTGCCAACTTCACTTGAAATATTCAACCACTTTATAACTTTTAGAAAACTGCAGCACCTCAAACATTGGCATCCTGATAGCATGCACAAGTTTGTCCGCATGAGCAGGTGGCAGCCACGAACACCTGATGAAAAACCAACTTGGAAGTGCAAACATTGCAAAGCGGCATTGTATGACCAGAATAAAAGTGCAAGTGCGATTAGACCACTGGCGCAAGGTCCATCCCAAAAAGCCAAAAGAAGATTTTCTATATTCCAGAGGACGCCCATCTGGAACTTCAATGAAAATCCTCTGGTTGCTAGAAACGTGCAGCTGCTCAAAGGCAATTTGAATGGGCACGCTCCTGTTGAAATAATATGGCCCTTTGCACCCAAATGCCAAGGAGTTGTAAAACAGTTCATTTGCCGACGATGTTTGCGCAGAGCGCATTTGCCTAAAATGATCAAAAAGAAGTGTCATGGGGAAAAGATCAAGGACAAACGGCGAATGCAGTTGCTCCGGAAGATACGCCGCAAAATTTCTGTGACAAAATCTGAAACTGACAAGCAAAACTTGCAAACGATCGCAGTTCTTTATGCCAGTTGCAAAGACACCAGCCATCGGTCCAAGAAGTGTGAGCAAATTCTCCAGAAACAAAGGTCGCGTGGGTAACCTGTACCCAGATTGTAACATTTGCTGGAGAGGAGGCGCCACGCCTGGACTCCGCGTTGCCAGCATGAACGTGCAATTTCTCAACACCAAAGTAAATGAAACTTTACATCTTTTTGATTCCAGAAAACTTGATATCCTGCTTCTCCAAGAAACGTGCCTTGACAGGGAATCTTTAAATGCTACCGCTCGCATGGCAAAGAAGCGTCAGATGACTTTTCATGCTGCAAACCCTCAAATTAGATCAGACGGTAGGTGTTTTGGGGGGCTTGCGTGTTTGTCGAGATGGCCGGTACAACCTGTCAAGCTCAATTGTTATACTCACCCTAAACTTGCATGTGTCACGCAAGCATTAAGAGTGCATCGTTGTCGTGAGGATCCCTTTCTCCTGGCAAATGTTCATTTTCAGAGCAGTGACACCGACATGGCGCAAGCCCAGTTCGAAAGTTTGCTGAGTGAACTCCTTTCTCTTGGTGCCCCTACTATAATTCTTGGTGATTGGAATTTAACACCTCCTAGCTCTCTCGTTGCTTTTTATGAGGCTCGGGGTGTCTTACACCTTGGAGGTACTGGAGTTTTCCCAGCCAGAAAATCTGGTAAATGCATTGATTTTGCTGCAGGCATCAACCGATGTCTATTCCATTATGAAACGCAATACTCAGGCCTTGGCGATCATGAAGTTGTGCAAATTCACATCCCAGACATTGCTCCTCGCATCACTTTTCATCACGCTCGTCGTCAGCAGCTTACTGATGATGAGGTCTCAGAGGACGCATGGAGTAATATTTGGTCTGAACATAGTCAAACTCAGTTTGCCTCATTCTTGCAAAATGCCCAGATTGACTTAGCCTGGGGACTTCTCAGTGGTTCCTACGAACATGCCCTAGCAGCAAATAAGCGCCATCACAATACTGTTCCTCGGCACAAAATTGTCACACCTAAGCCCAGGGAACCTCTTTGCAGAAAAAGCTGCTTTCCTGAAAGTTTCTGTCTTCGTAGATTGAAAAGATACATTAGGAGGGTTGAGGAATTCCAACGAAATCCGCATCCATCGTTACAAAAGAAAATTGTGGACTACCAGGATTATCTTCTTAAAGTGTGGCCCAATCTTTCGGAGCCTGAAATGCTCTCTAATGTATGCGCTTTAAAATCTTGGGTCGCTGAAATTGAAAAGGAAACACGCAGTGCCCGCAAGAAAAAGGCTTTGGAAAAAATTGCATTGCATGATGCTAGAGCCTACCAGTGGCTCAAAAGGCCTGCGGCCACCGAGAAACCGCGTGATATGACTGATCCGATGCCGGTTGCGCCTGAAGATCAATTGCTTTATGTCAAGCACAAATGGGAAGCTATTTGGATGCAACCTCCTTTGCAAAATTCTGAAATTCTTGATCAAATGATGGATAATTTTCCTTCATATCCCCATGTTGAAATTGTTCGCAGTGAATTGTACAAACTTGAACAAAAAACCAAGGGCAAGGCAGCCGGCCCCGATGGCTGGCAGGGTAGGCTTTTTGCTGCGTTGCCTGAAAGTGCCTTTTCTCCTCTTGCCATGCTGTGGCATCTTTGCCTTGAACACTCCATGTTGCCTTCCACTTCGTGTCAGGCGCGTACAGTGCTTATAGACAAGCCGGATGGTGATAAAAGGCCACTGTCTATTGCTAGCCTTTGCTGGAGACTGTGTGCGTCAGCCACACTTCGTAAGTTACAACCGTGGATAGCCACTTGGATCCACAAAGACCTTTGTGGAGGACTTCCTGACACCAGAGCAGACTTTTTGCACCAGAGGTTGATGCCCGACCTTCAAACTGATGAGACCCAGCGTCCTAAGGTCATTGGTGTAAAACAAGATCTGTCCAAATGTTTTGACAACACTTGCAGCCAGCAGGCCATTACCATTTTGGCCAAATTTGGGCTACCGCCGAAAATTGTTCGCATTTTGAAAACTTTTTATCGAAATCACATTAGGTGGCTTGAAATTGATGGTTGTGTCTCAGCAGAGCCAATCAAACCGATACGCAGCATCCTTCAAGGTTGTCCCTTCCGTGTTGTCCTCCTTAGTGGGATCATGACCTTGTGGGCCACTCATGCACATTCGTTTTCCATTGCTTAACGTTGGTGTCTACATTGATGATCGAACTCTTTGGCTAAAGGACCAACCTGTCCAGAACTTGCAGCATGCGATTCAGCATTCCAACATGTTGGATAAGCAGTTTGGATTTAAAAGTAACAAGAACAAAGAAGCCTTCTTTGCCAATACACCTTCTTTGCGGAAGAAACTCAAAGCTTTTGGTAGTACTTACCCTTGGTTTTCTCTCCTTGGCATTCACTATCAGCGTAACTTTTTCAGTGCAGATCATACAAACACAGTTGCAAAAAATCTTGATCTCCTGCTCTCTAGACTTCGCTTCCTTTTTCGTTCGCATGACCGTCGCCGGGTCTTCGTTCGAACTGTGGTCCTTCCCATGATCACTTGGGCTGCTGCCTGGGCGACTCATAGCGACAAATTCATTCAGAAAACTGCAATCAAAATTGAAAAATGCATTCTTGGTCACCTTGCACCTGGAAGATCGCCCACTTTGGTTTGGGCAATTTTGGGACTTAATGTTCACCCTCTCTTTCAGCAATTCGCAGTTGCTTTCCGTGTTTGGGAGTGGCAAATCTGGAAAAAATGTCATGGAGGCAAAACTCCTATTTTAAGCTCTGCTGCACGTAAGATGTTTGGGCTTCTCAAATGGACCCCGTGTCCGGACGGAAGTATTGAAACTCCCAATGGTAATTTGGTCATTGGGGTTGACTCTTCCAATAGTATTTTGCAACTTGCTAAACTTTCCTTTTACCACCATTTGTGGGGTAAAGATAAGAGAGTATGTGCCATTGAAAAAGAAAAATGGCCTGACCTTCAAATCCAATTGGACGCTGGCAAGTCCCTTGATGGTTTAGGCTGGGCCTATGAAAGTGCCATCACAGGTGCCGCAGTTGATGGACGCATGACTAAAGCGTTTACAAGACAAGATGTCACTTGTCGATGTGGTGAAACCAACCCAACAAGGCGTCACTTGTTGTGGCATTGCAAAGCGTTGCAGTCGGCTAGGCTAAAACATGGATTGGCAGACGGCCCGCAGCCTGCTACTGCTGAAGAAGGATTGCTTGTCAAATCAGTTGAACATTGCACCTTTCCTAGTAACATCACTGAGATCACGCTTCGCCGCTTCACTCTGTGGTCTCTCACGAGAAACTTGATCAAATTTGTAACTTGGTGAAAGGTTTGTTTGATGCATCGCAGCACTTGAGCTTGCCCATCATTGTCGGCACAGACGGCTCTTCCCATAGACATGCTTTCACAACACGGGGTTGTTGGGGATTGGCCTCACAGCAACACGCAGTGGCAGGGAAGTTGCAAGGCTGGGACCAGACTCCCGATTGTGCTGAAGCATGGGCTGGGTGTATTTGCATTTTGGCCCTTTTTGCTTTTCTTCCTCATGACCCACCTCCAGTCATTTTGCTTTGTGATAACCTGAATCTTGTCAATAAGCTGCACACTTTGATTCGCAAATCTTGCCCCTTGCCATGCTTGCCACATTGGGCCCTGTTTTGTGCCATTCAACGTAAACTGAATGAACGGCCAGATATCAATTTGCGACCTATTTGAATTCCATCGCATGGAAAAAATAAACCTTGGGATATTCCGCCGGAATTCCCTGACGATGTCTGTAGATCTATTAATGATGCGGCAGATGTGGCTGCCTCTCATTCTAATGAAAATGCTTTTTACTTTTGCCATAACCTTTCGATGGCTGCAAAAGTTCGTAACACTTGGATGACCAATGCTTTTCTGTTTTTGCAGTTTGCAATACGTGACCTGCAGGTCTACAATTCGCAAAACGAAGTCCCACGGGACGGGGGCGATCACGTGACGAGAGTGCACACACGGAAGGATACCGTGGCATTTCTTCAACGGCACTGTGGCTTTCATTAAACACCATCAAGCTGGACAAGTTGATAGCTTTTGAGTGGGCACTATGAAAAAGTGCTTTCCACCAAAGAAAGCAAATCAGTTGCGGTTCCGCGCAATAAGGTACAAAAACCCAAGCCTAAGAATCCAGTTTCTAGGAAATGTCTTTTCCGAGAAAAAATTCCAGCTTCGTAGGCTGAAAAGATACATCCGTAGATTAGATGAATACCGTCGTGATCCTCACCCTTCTTTGTATCAAAAAAAATTGGCTTCGCAAACTTATTTACTCAAGGTTTGGCCCCATCTATCTGAGCCAGGTTTGTTAGCAGACATACGTAAATTGCAGTCTTGGGCTATCCAAGTTGACACCGACACACGCGCTGCCACCAAAAAGGCGGCGTTGGAACGTATTGCTTTTAGTGATTCCAGAGCCTATTGTTGGATCAAAAGGCCTGTGGAAACTGAAAAATCACGTGAACTTGAGGACCTAACCCCGGTTGCACCCGAAGACCAGGTTGAACATGTTAAGAAACAGTGGGAGAGCATTTGGATGCAACCGCCTGAGCAGGATTTCCAAATGATTGAAAGCATGTTTGCCAGTCATTCCGAACATCCGGAAGTGAGCATAGATTATTCGGACATTTGCAAACTTGCCAAGAAAGCCAAAGGCAAGGCTGCCGGCCCGGATGGGTGGCAAGGAAAACATTTTGCATCTTTGCCTCCATGTGCCTTTTTACCATTAGTGCAACTCTGGCACACTTGCCTTCAAGTCTCAGTGCTGCCGGCCAGCTGGTGTGAGGCTCGTACTGTTTTCATCAATAAACACAATGGTGACAAGCGCCCCTTGTCGATAGCAAGTCTTTGTTGGAGGCTCTGTGCATCCGCAACGCTGCAAAAGTTGCAAGCGTGGATTTCTCTTTGGATTCACAAAAGATTTGTGTGGAGGATTGCGTGGCTCCAGGGCTGATTCTCTGCATCACCGCCTTATGCCGGATCTCATGCAACATGAGCCCTCACAGCAAAGAAGGGTACTTGGACTCAAACAGGATTTAGCCAAGTGTTTCGACAACACTTGCTCCGCCAAGCAACTGCTGTCCTGACCAGATACGGGCTCCCGAAGCAAATAGCTAAATTACTTTTGTATTTCTACAATAACCACGTCAGATGGTTAGAAATCGATGAATGCGCGTCTCCTGACCCTCTGAGGCCGACACGTAGCATACTCCAAGGTTGCCCCTTTAGTGTTCTATTGCTTTCTGGCCTAATGACTCTTTGGGCTTCGCAGCTACGATCAACTTCCCACAGCTGCGACTTGGTGTTTACATTGATGACAGAACTCTTTGGATGAAAAATAGCTCGATTGCCACATTGCAGAAAGTTGTTGAACACTCTGATAAGTAAGCTTGATGCTATTTTTGAGTTCAAAAGTAGCAAAGACAAGGAAGCTTACTTCGCAAATTCTTCCGCCTTACGACGCAAATTAAAAGTGTTGGGTAACTCATATAATTGGTTTTCCCTGCTTGGTATCCATTACCAACGATTTTTTTCGCTGCAGATCGCACCAGACGCTGGCGCAGCGAATTGATTTGATGCTTTCTCGAATCAGGTTTCTGTTTCGCTCACGCAATAAGAGGCGGTTATGTGTTCAATCCCTCGTCGTTCCCATGATCTCTTGGGCAGGTGCTTGGACAACACGCAATAAGAAATTCCTCCACAAAATTACAACGAAAATTGAACGTTGTATATTGGGACGTATCACGCCAGGACGGTCACCCACTTTAATTTGGGCCCTTATCGGCCTTAATGTCCATCTTGTGTTTCAGCAAATTGTCACTGCCTTGAGAGTTTGGTCCTGGCAGGCCTGGCAACAGCAAAAAGAAGGCACGGAGCCTTACCTCAGCAATTCGGCGTGTCAAAGCTCAACCTCGGCCATTGTTGTTGTAGTTAATGAAAGCGACACTGCCGCAAGACTGATGCCACAGCATCATCCCGTGTATACGCTCTCGGCATGTTCACCTAAGAATGGTCAGGGACCAAAATTACATCAAAATGCTCTGCATGTTGTTTATCAAAAACGTGCAGGTCAGCAATTGCAAATTGGAGAAAGCTGGATGTCTTTTGCCGAGGTTGAGCTGGTTCTTCCAGTGGGCCTTCTGCACAGCTGCTGCCACCATCGTGAGTGGCGCTGTGGCGGAACGTGTGAAGAGCCCCACCTACGCCATCTTCGCCTTCCTGATGGCCAGCTTCATCTACCCAGTTGTCGTGGCCTGGACCTGGGGTGGCGGCTGGCTGGCGACCATCCTGGATGTCGGCTACATGGATTTTGCTGGTAGCGGCACCTAGGATTTTTTGGAGTTTTGGATGTTTAATTGCTACATATGTCAAGGGGGATCGGGTTGTTTTAATGATTTTTAAGAGGTCAATAAATCGTCTCCAATATACGGCGTCGGAACAGGGGAAACGAGGGTTCAAACCATTGCGTTGTTGTGGAACATTTGTCAAGGGAAGAACAGGGTGCGAAAACATGGGTTTTCAAGAGATCTCGGAGAAAATATGGATGGACACTGGTCAGAAATGCAGAAAGAAATCCGCCAGCATGAGAACCGATTATCAATTGCCTACCTACCTAACCTAACCTGACCTAACCTAACCTAACCTAAGCTTAAACCTAAACCTAACCTAACCTAAACCTAAGCTAACCTTAACCTAACCTTAACCTAACCTTAACCTTAACCTAACCGAACCTAAGCTAAGCTAAGCCAAGCTAAGCTAAGCTAACGTACCTAACCAACCTACCCAACTTACACAACCTATACCTACCCTACCTACCCTACCTACCCTACCTACCCTACCTACCCCCTACCCTACCTACCCTACCCTATACCTACCCTATACCTACCCTATACCTACCCTATACCTATACCTACCCTATACCTATACCTACCCTATACCTACCCTATACCTACCCTATACCCACCCTGTACGTACCCTATACCTACCCTATACCTACCCTATACCTACCCTATACCTACCCTATACCTACCCTATACCTACCCTATACCTACCCTATACCTACCTACCCGGTACCTTACCCGATACCCTACCCGATACCCTACCCGATACCCTACCCGATACCCTACCCGATACCCTACCCGATACCCTACCCGATACCCTACCCTGTACCCTACCCGATACCTTACCCGATACCCTACCCGATACCCTACCCGATACCCTACCCTATACCCCCTATACACCCTATACCCCCTATACCCCCTTATACCCCCTATACCCCCTTATACCCCCTATACCCTACCCTATACCGTACCCTATACCGTACCCTATACCGTACCCTATACCGGAACCTATAGCGTACCCTATAGCGTACCCTATACCGTACCCTATACCGTACCCTATACCGTACCCTGTACCACCGTACCTCACCCTACCCTACCCTACCCTACCCTACCCTACCCTATACCTACCCTATACCTACCCCATACCTACCCTATACCTACCCTATACCTACCCTATACCTACCCTTTACCTACCCTATACCTACCCTATACCTACCCTACCCTACCCTACCCTACCCTATACCTACCGTACCCTACCCTATACCTACCCTACCCTATACCTACTCTACCCTATACCTACCCTACCCTATACCTACCCTACCCTACCCTACCCTATACCTACCCTACCCTACCCTACCCTACTCTATACCTACCCTACCCTACCCTACCCTACCCTACTACCTTGCCCTGCCCTGCCCTGCCCTGGCCCTCCCTGCCTGCTTGCTCTGCTCTGCTCTGCTCCCTGCCCTGCCCTGCCCTGCCCTGCCCTGCCCTGCCCTGCCCTGCCCTGCCCTACCCTACCTACCCTACCTTACCCTATATCTACCCTATACATACCCTATACGTACCCTATACCTACCCTACCCTACCCTACCCTACCCTACCCTACCCTACCCTACCCTACCCTACCCTATACCTACCCTGCCCTGCCCTGCCCTGCCCTACCCTACCCTACCTATCTACCTAAGCCAACCTACTTGCAGAAGTAACAGTTGCAAACTTTTGATGAAGTCCTCCGTAGATGGACGAAATATTCAAACCGCTTCTATCCAGTACAACCCCCTCGCCCCCAAAGTTCAATGTTAATGTAACCTGAAGGTCATTAGCCTAGTACCAAACTAAATTCACGCAAAAAAAATCTCAACCCCCATTTTTTTGAGAAGTTTCGGCCAGTTTCGGATCTCACCATGGCCTAATTCCGTGGCATCTATCCGCCCAGGCGTTGTACACTTGACCGGTGGCGTGGCAGGTTTGGCGGGCACCATCGTGTTGGGTCCTCGCAAAGGGCGTTTCACCAACCCCGAGGAGTTTGAGACCCACAATCTTCCGCTCGTGGTGCTGCTGGGATTTCCATGGGAATTTTGATGGTACTGGATGTATTTGGGTTTGGCAAGTGCCAGTGATGTTGGGGTATTTCAATTCCCCATTGCCACGGTTTGCAACCAAGGCTCGGCACCTTCGCGCTGTGGTTCGGCTGGTATGGCTTCAACCCTGGCAGCACCCTGGCTATGCACGACTACGCGACCGGTGCCATGGCGGCTCAGGTGGCGATGAACACCACACTGTCAGCAGCCACTGGCGGCATCACCGTCTTCATCTTGGCTTATGTCATCACCAAGAAATACGACGTGGGTGGCCTGTGCAATGGCATCCTGGCAGGCCTAAACTCTCCTTGAGAGTTTGGGTGGGTTTCCTCCAAATCTCATCATCAAAAATCAATCTTGCTGATACTTGGATACAAAAAAACAAGCATTTTTTGAACACCAGTGGTAAAATATGGTAAAATATGGTTTTCCATGCCGTTTGCCAATGATTTTCCGAACACCATCCATTCCTTGCCAGGTTTGGTTTCCATCACTGCGGGCTGTGGCAACATGGAGTGCGGTAGCGCTGTTGCCACCGGCTTCGTAGGCGGCCTGGTGTACCAAGGCGCCCTGGACGAGAAAAAAGGGTCGCATTGGGGAACGGCCGACCAAAGGGCGAAGGTGAACCATTGAAAAAGGGGGATGTTACCCTCTGGTAAACTAACATAGCTATTGAAAACGGCCATTTATAGTGAGTTTTCCCATAAAAAATGGTGATTTTCAATAGCTATGTTAGTTTACCAGAGGGTACCAAGAAAAAAAAATGTGGATTGAAGCGATTTCACGAACAAAATGGAAGGGGAGATTTTGTTGTAAAATTCTGTTGGGACTATGATGACGGTTGAGTTTAACCATCCAACATGGGGATTCAACGAATATGATCATCCTCAGGCGAGACTGGTGGCTTGGGGGATAGCCCAATAATGGTGGCTAACAACCATGGTTTATTTCAGCCAGTCCCACATGGAACGTCTTCATGATGGCTCCCATGTATTAGCTTGGTTCAATGTCAAATTTGACATCAATTTTCGGGATTTAAACAACACCTCAAGATTACTGTGGGCAGTTTCGGTCATATTTTTAGGACATATGGTTATGATCCAATACCAAACCAGTTTGTTGTTGGGTGTGTAATGGTAGGAATGTAATATATCCAGGTAAAATCCTTTGAAGATGAATTTCGATACACGAGAGGTTTTCCAACGATGTTAAGAGGATGCGGCTCCTGCTATGGGACTGCTTGGTGGGGATGGGGATGCACATCCAACTTGAACAGCTTGTAACAGGATTTCAATCGACGCCCGACACACCCATATTTTTGTGTCTTTTAGATTGGTTTAGTTGGAACAAACATTTTAAGCGGGCACACATCTCAAATTCGTTTCAACTCTAAGCTTTTCCCCTTAAAGCATTCCAATTTTTATCATTGAACCATAGTCAACATTTTTTCTTCGCATCTTTTTTCTGGGGGGGGTGCCTTCAAAATGTCTCCTTGGCTTCGTCAGGATCCTCCTTGCTCCTTCAGAAAATGAAAATCGATGACCCGGTGGATGCTGCGCCGGTACACGGCTTCTGTGGCATTTGGGGGGTCTTAGCCTGCGGACTTTTCGACTGGGGCAAGGGCTTTGAAGCTTGGTAGTGGGAGGTCACCAGCCCAGTTCAAGGTGACGGTGAGATATTAATTGGCGTTAAAGATGATGATTCAATGATCAAAGATGGTGAAATTCATGAAATGGGGATTGAAGCCGGAAATGATGCTTAGAAAGGGTTATTTATACATCCTGGTGAGATTTTGGGTTATGTAGTAGAGTTCACCATGGGAATCTGTCCTTCAACCATTCAGGAGGCTGAGGGATGACGGAGGATCTTGGGCATTGCTGAAATTGGACGTGTTTCAAACGACGGCAAAACACAAGATGAAACCAAGACGACACGGTGAAGACACAGAGGTCCAACGGTGTCATCAACGGTCCAAGGGGATTCACATGGATTCACTGAGGATCATTACCACGGCTGGAGTGGCTTTGGTTGCATGATGAACACCGCTGGCACTGCCTGCCAGACAGGCTATGGCGGCTCCGCCATCGGGGCCCAATTTATCCTGTGCATCATGGTGATTCTGTGGTCGGGCTGCCTGTCTGCCATCATCTTCTTGCTGCTGAAACTCACAGGCCCATGGCCTGCCATGCTGTGCTGATGTAGATTGACTTTAGAGAAAGGTACCATTCCTTTCTCAAAAAACGAATTTAAACATCATGCAACAACATTGGACACAAAATGCCGCCATAATATATCCAAGACAAAAAATCACAATTACTGAGTTTTTTTCCAGGGAAAGAATGGATTACGGATGTATTCCCCTTTGAACGCCAGACAGGGATTCAAGTAAGATCAGTCTTTTTCGACATCCAGGGATCCAACTTTTATTGAAACCACCATGTTACAGACCATGTTTGTTGGTTAAATTACTTATTCCCGGGCCCTTCATCGGCAGGTACCCTTCGCATTAGCGAAGAGGTGGAGGCTGTGGGCATGGACGAGCATCACCACTCGCCCCCAAAGGCCTACTCCCTCCCTGGCGTGAACGCCGCGTCGCCGCAGAAGGCGAGCCGAAAGAGCCTGCTGGGTTGAGGTCATCACAAAGAATATACACACAGCGGTGGCGGTTCAGCCGACAAGACGAAAAGGAGGTTTGAGTTTTGACCATGTTAGGAAAACAAAGAAAGATCTAAGATTTTAAAGATCCTATACAATGATATACAATGTACTTGCGATTTCAGTTCAGATCATTTTCCAGACATCCTCTGTTGTTCTTGTTGCGATTCTCACCTGCCAGGGAGTGATGCAGGTGGTGCCCGGTGCACCGCCAGCCGATGGACCCAAGGATGCCTGGGCATCTGGGGGTGCTGCACCGGCCTAGTCGAAACATGTCGAAACCAAAGATGACCTTGAGGCTTGAGGATACCCTTTTTTGTAACCCATGCCCACCAAACCGCACGAACAACACTAGCATCATCTTTCACCCTTGGAATATTTGGAATGGCAGCCTTGAGCCGGGTTCAAACTACGCCCAGCGCAAATGATCACTGGAGCGGAGTTTCGGATGCAAAAGTACACATTTCCTTCCCGGATGTCCACGGATTTCTACCGTGACACCAAAGGCCAAAATCAGGTCTTGGCCGTGGCATCAGAAGTGGAGCTTCTGAGAGGCAAGAGTCAGAGGTCAAATTGACTCCGACTGGTACGAACCAGCCGACTGGCTGTCAAAAGGCTCATGCCCGGAATTGCAAGTGGCGGGAGTTGCCCCACCTCGCCCGCCATTTTTACGCAAGTGCTTTGAACATCTTTACCATTCTTTACCCATGTTTTCCTGCGACGGAGAAAACGCCTTGTACAAATCTGCTGTTGGAGTGGGCCGAAATTAGGCACATCTTCCAATCGCAGTGTGTATCAATCCATTTGACCATGATGAAGTCATGGTACAAGCGCACTGTACAACCCTACCTCCGCGCTTTCAAAACAAGAGATCTCCGTGCGTGGGCCTCGCTGGAGGCTCTAGGCTGTCAAGGCCACACAGGATCTACCATGATCAGTGGGTCGGAACTCTTTGTCACTCCAAAAAAGAAAGCAAGTTGAACCAAGAATGGGCGTGGAACTTATATATGTGGTTTTCGTCACCAAGTAGGGGCTCGGATTCGCTGGGCCACCTTTCGGGCCCAAGAACGGGGCGGAGAACGACTCCGCGAACTCCGCGCCACGCAGCTTGTCCGTTCCAGCGCCCAGGGCGGTTCGGATTTTGTATCCCATTCTTGGGCCCCATTTAGCGAATGGTGACCTCAAACAGGAATTTGGGATGGACTCTACCCGCACAGTGTTTTGTTTTCTCTCCAAAAGGATCAAGTACAACTATTGTGACACGATCCTTCAATTTGCTGACATAAATCAGCCTGGTTTTTCCAGGCTGGTCTCCCTATATTTACATAGCAAATCATAGCAACACAAACCCCCGAAATCCAATCAAATGTTAACACACATGTGATATGGCTGCCATATGGCTGTCATATATTTCCTCTTTGTTTGCCATAATTTTGGTTAAACTCCCGCCCCGCCAACTGCGAGAACTTCAGAAGTTTCTCAAGGTGAGATCCCTGGAGATGCGCGTAGCGGCGATTTCGTTGCTGTTTCTTACAGTCAGGGCGCCCATGGGATGGCTTCCCTCGGGAACCGAGCTGAAGCGAGCTGACGAAGACACGGGCTTTCCTGGGCACCCAAAAATCTGGGAGCCAACCGTGAACAGTTTGTTTTCAGGAAGGATGAAGTTGTGAGAGAAAGACTTGTTGGCAGCTAAAATTAGGCACCTTGTGCTTCCGTCAGGTCAATGCAATATTGTAGGAACCCCAAAAAAGATAGAAAAGTAACGTCCTTTTTAAACACTGTGGTAAATAAAATAGCCTAAAAGTAGCGATCAATAACATGTCTATTTTCATGGGGGGTTGCTAACTTATCCTTTGCCCAGATGCGTTTAGGAACATTGGTGAGTACATGTGATTGATGAAGTCTGTCAGCGCGTAGCCACTTCTGGCTTAGGATTGGATGGTTTCCTATTTGGGAGCTATTTTCAATGTATTTTATATGATTGGGAGATGGGATTGCTACTCTCTTAGATGTTCATTCGATGTCATTCTTCGGCATTGGGTTAGAAAAAGTTCCTCACCATGGCCATTGGAAGATATGACGCGATGATATTCTATCGTGATATTCCAACCATCATTGTTGGTGAAATCCATTGAAATCCCCAAACCAGATCCATACAGTGTATAGTATCAACAGCATTGGGGAATATTGGGGATATACCCTCTGGTTATTTAACAGTTCGCCATGGTTTTTCGATGGCCCTAATCGAAATAGATGGTTTACCGAACTTAATAGCATGGTGGATCTTTCCATGGCAAACTGGCAATGTCATAACCAGATGGTATTGCCATTGTACCATTATCATAGAATTGGATGATGGGAAAATTTACAGGAAAGCCCTATATTTCATGGTAAAAACCATGGTTTCCGGTTAAGATTTTCCCTTAAATCAATCCAATGACATTAAAAAACATTGGGATACCACCGAAATCCCGGCAGTTTGATCAGAAATGAGGCCATAGGGACCGAGCTCGGTGACCTCACCCATGAGGCGTGGCGTTCTGCAACGTGGGGACGAAGAATTCATGGATTTCTAGCCGAGGTAGCTGGTAAACCGTTGTATAGCTATAGAATGCTATAGAACATCAGCATTTTGAATAGGTAAATCAACTATAAATGGGCTATTGTCAATAGGTTGAATTAGCAGAAGGTATAGGATTATGGAACTCTTCGACTCTTTGCAACAACTTCCACAGACATGCGAGGCGACATGAAATCGAAGCATTTTGTGATTTCCAAGTGCAGAATGTCAATGAATCTGAGGCCCCACGTGACTCTTCACATGTCTACATTGTACACATATCTATAATATTCTATATTATATGATATGATATTAGATAAATATATATAAATATATAAATATATAAATATATATATATATATAAATATATATATACACATAAATATACAGTATATACTTGCATCTATTTCTCCAACAAATATCCATTAAACTACTGTTCATCTTACTATCCATGATCCAATCCATAAGATCCTATGAGATTCCGAGGAGATCATCCCCTGATTCTATCCGTCCACCTTCCTGGAGTCAAAATGATCATAAAGGGGACTGATGGTCATCATGGTTATGACGGTTATAACTAAATTGTAAAACTGGTTGGTGGTTTGGAACATTTTTTATTTTTCCATACATTGGGAATAATAATCCCAACTGACTAATATTTTTCAGAGGGGTTGAAACCACCAACAAGCTATAAATTATAACATGTATTAAAATGTTTATAACCCCTGGTCGCACTATTATATACTGTAGGAATATATTCATATATATATAATATTCCCAATGTTGAAGCACTATTATGAACATTGGCTCGTGTATACCAACATGAACTCCAACGTTAGGTATTCCCAACATGATACCCCCATGGACCTCTGTTATATATGTATTGGTTGACCGGTGAATTCTCCAGGCTGCAGGTTTTCCAATTTATGGGATCCCCCTTGGAAAGCCCACCTTGTTGAGGTGGTTGAGCTCCAGAAGGAGCTGGCTGCCCAAAAGGTGATCTTGGAGGAAACGAGATGCGGATGCGTTTTTTTATACTTCTGAGTCCCCATTTTCCCCAATTTTAGATGGCTTTACTATGCTTTACAATGGGTTATTGGGTTGATACTTCTGAGATCTTCTGGTAACTTCCCCAGTTCGTTTTTTCCGCAACTGAGCCACCAGGATCAGGAGCACCGTTTCGAGCAGCTGGAAGCGAGCTCTTCCAGACGACTGCAGACTGCTTACCTCACGACTGCAACGTTCAACACGAAAGTCGCTTCGTGGGCTTGGGGGTTGGGGGTTAGTTGCTGGGTGGTGACATAAACTTTGTCCAAACAGAAAGGGCGATTTCAAGAAGAACCACTATTTCAGTTGAGGGCTTGATGGTGATTTTCACCAAGAAACGCATGGATTTCACCGTCTCATGGGCAACTCACGTGGGGATTCAAGTTTCGCGAAGCCAACAGGATTGAACCAAGCATGACATGGGGATCCAATCAATTCACAGGCGTGTGAAAAACTTAGCCACAGATCTGGGGATTTTTTTTTGGGGGATTTGACCTACCTTTGGGTAGGGATTTTTCAGATCAACGATCAACATGGGGATTTAGCCATCAAACAGGGAATTCAACCAATAAATCTGGGGATTCCTCCATGGTTTTTTGAAGCAGCAAACAGGGGGAGCACCGGGATCCCACCGGGAAAACACCAGGGGATTTTTTCACCAAAAAAGGGGATTTTTTATCCAAAGGACTGACTTCTTTCCAGCAAAATGGGGATTGATCTAATTGTTGGATTAAGATCATTGGAACAATTGGATACTATTTCAAATAACCAGCCCTAATATTATCCAATTGTCCCTTAAATTTGCACTGATTGGGTGAAATATTTCGCCAATGCCACCGGCCCTAAGATCTTTTCCCAAAAAGGAGATCATTGAAGCAGTCCACAATGGTGCTGCTCGGGTACTCACCGAAAGAGATGGTGCCATATGGTGCCACTGTGTTAAGTTACCTCGGATGTAACTTACCCGGCCTGATTATGACGAACAGTTTGCTATTGAACATGGCCATAGAAATAGTGAATTTTCCCATGAAACATGGTGATTTTCCATAGTTTTTTGTATGTTTACCCGAGGGTAAACCATGAATAACCCGAGATATATCCATCCAACTGATGAAATTCACAGTGACCTCACTGGCTAACCTCACCTGAAATGATGCTTCATGCGATGGTCCAGGTTCCAATTTAAGAGACTAATCATAACTATTACAATGTGCCTATAAGGTGTATGGCTATATATGGCTATGAAAAGCCATGTTTTTTTGGCGTCCCCGAAGGTCAATTTTCACCACCTGGTCATCTGGTCCCTTTCTGGAAATTCCAAATGGTTCCGATGTCCTCATCCTATCCCCATTTTGGCTGATGAGTCCCGTGCTATTTGGCTGGTTAAACATGGTTAAACCTTACATTGTCCTGTACATTGGTGACTTCCCCCGGCTCAATGATTTGCGAAATCCCAGTCGAACTCAACTCAATTGTTTGCTAAAACATGGTGTAAACCATGTTAAAAGCCATTCGAATTCTATGTTTGTTGATTCACTTTCCTGGTGCATCACTTGGCTGGTTTCTCTCAGGTGAGCACCATCGAGTCGTCCTTGAAAGGGCTCTTTGGGGCATTGGACTCGGCATGGTTGTGCCTGTGTGGAGCACTGGTCATGTTTATGCCGCCTGGATTCCCTTGGAAAATGCGGTTGGCTGCGATTGTTTCTGATGTTTGAAGATGTTTGAAGATGTTTGGAGATGTTTGGTATTGTTTGGTGGTTTTTCCTGAAGTGAGTTGTAGCACCAGATGAATGAAATGGGGTGAGATGAGTTTCAACAGCAACGGGGATGTCATAGTGATAGAATTGATATGGTGATATCGTGAGGATACATGCAAGAATCTCATGTTTGTGTGTGTGTGTGAAAAATTGATATGAATGCACAATGAGAAGTTTTAATAGGGAAGATGAAATAAACCATATATAATTTTGGGGTACCCAATCTTCACACAAACCCAGGTGGAGAGAGGTTAGTTGTGGTCCCAAAAGACGGGGCGTTTTTCTGGACCCGTGGCACATGGCAATCTTTAAATCAGGGGGAGAATGATGTGATAGACTAGGGCAAAGTTTAAGGGTACGATATATCATGGTATATCATTTTTTTGGAGTCCGATGGAAAAAAACATGGGTAAAAGTTGGGCCAAGCCCCAGCAGATTGATGATCAACTCCCAGTTGACTGTTTTGGACTTCCCAGGCATGCGGGCTTTGCCATGTTGGAGACGGGATGCTGCCGGGCCAAGAATGCTTCCAACGTGTTGATGAAGAACTTGGTGAACGTGTGTGCAGGGACCTTGGGTTGGTGGAGCTTTGGTTGGGCTTTCGCCTATGGCTCTGCCTCAACCAACGGTTTCATCGGATGGCATGGATTCTTTGGCTTCGACATGTACACCTACGATAGCCGCACTGGAAACATTACACCAGTTGATTGCCAGTATGACAATGCAGGCGGCTGCCAAAGCCAAATGCTGAGCTGGTTTTTTCAGTGGGCCTTCTGCACTGCCGCTGCCACCATTGTGAGCGGCGCTGTTGCCGAGCGAGTAAAGAGTCCTACCTACGCAGTGTTCGCCTTCTTCATGACTAGCTTCATCTACCCAGTGGTTGTCGCATGGACCTGGGGCGGTGGTTGGATTAGCACACTCTTTGATGTCGGTGTCATGGATTTTGCTGGCAGTGGAAACTTGATGTGAAAATTTGCACAGATCATTTTTGTTTTCATTTTGTTTGAGACTCTTGTACAGTATACCTTTACACATCCCAAGACGGAATCTCTCAGTCCCAGATGCTAGTTCCATGCCTGTCCAATGCTCGAACATGTTCAACATTAAAATCGAACGGAGACATGATTTCAATGTAAGATTCAGATTTACGACAGTGGGTTTGATGAATTGATGAATACACAAAACCTTTGTCTTGGCAGTAAAACCCTTGCCTGGGACTCATGCTTAAGGTGTATACGCAGTAAAGCAGACGAATTGTAAAGACCAATCTACATACGACTACAGTATAGAACCACAACGTCGTCCAATCTGCTGCCTCCCAAATACCAAAAGTGTTGTACAACTCTTCATCAATATCGCCTGGTTGAAATTTGCGCCGGGTCAAGTCGGTCAAGCATGTTTTTTTTTCCCAAACATCTGTGAGGGATTGTCAGAGTGTCGTTGCGTTCCAAGATAGCCAAGATTGGAACATGTCCCATTTAGTTTGATGATTTTGTTTGTAGTTTGTATTACTAGCTGTACATAATATAATGTGTTACATACTGTGATGCGATGGCTCAAGAAACAAGCGCGCTAGTGTTGGTTACTTTTGGCTAAGTGACCTGTAAAACAGGTTATCAGCCGTAAGCTAACTTCTCCTTTGGTAGAATGTCTGCCCCCTCGGGTTCTTCCACCGAGGGCACCGGGCGCGTAGATTCCTCTGACGTTGCCATGGCCAACCCGGGGACACTACCAATAAGCAACTCGCCATTCTCGGTTGACATCAGCACCCCACCTGGATCCGATAAGTCTCGAAGCTTAAGGGAACGACGCCACTTTCCATATTTGAGTAACGCAGTTGTGCCTTCTCATATTGGATTTAATCACCGTGGTTTTGTCCCCCAAGCCGCTCGGGAGGGTGGGCCACCGACTCGCCAATTGAATCAGATGAATATTCATAATACGTTTCAGCACAATGTTCATGTTGACAATCCTCAAGTGAATTTTGTCGAGCAGAATTTGCACCTTCATGCACATGATCCTGCTATGACAAGCCTTGTGGAAACAACGGCCGAACTCCGTCATCGTGAAGTATTGGCCCAGGCCGAAGCCAACGCTGAGGCCGTCCACACGGCAAAGACTGAGGAATTGGTGGAAGCATTGCGAGTCCGTGAGGGCATTGAAAGTCAGAGGGCCTTAGATGCAATGATGTCAAAAGAACAAGAAGTATTGAGAATGGGAGCACAGTACAGGGAGAACTTACAGCATGAGGCGCACGAACACGTAAGGTTCCGAGAAGCTCAAATGAATGAGAAAATTCAAGCCTATCAACGTGTCATCGATGCTAACCATCGACAATCACTTTCAAGTAAGGAGCAAGAGATCCTTGAGTTGAAAAGAGCAGCTGAGGAAGAGAGAAGGATTCAGAATGACCGCATCACACAGCTTGAACACATGGTACAAGCCCAGATGCAACATAATCTGAAACTGCAAAGTATGCTCGATTCCCAATTTGCTCAGGTTCGTCCAAGCCCGATCGTTGAAACAGCCGCCATGACTATGACAGCCGGAACCCATGCACCAACGGAGATCCCAAACTTTGAGTTTGTTCCACCAACCCGCAAAGCTGCACCCGCAGTGCCTCCGACGAACGTTGCCCGACCTCCTATTCCAAGAGCACCGATTAACTTTACTTCACCAGGTACTGAAACTTATGAAAAGGATGGTATTGAGATCGTTTATCATGATCCATCATATCGAGTCCCAATTCAAGTGAAGAAGGAGTCGGATGTTGCAAGGTCTTCCGCTGAGGAACGCCCTTCGGGAGGAGAGGCCAGTAATCGACGCCGAGACAGCCATCCCATGGATAGTGTCAATTCCCCTGCACCGACCAATCAATATGCCCCGACCGAAATAGGCCCAGACGAGATGGAATACTTCGAGCCGGGGGGCGATGGTGCACCTGATGGGGACGATCCAGGGGATGGAGGGGACGGCAACGGAGGGAACGGGGGAGGTGGACCACCGTCACCGCCTGATCCAATCAATAAACCTGAAGGGGATAAGAACCGTAAGGCGCCCAGAAAGAATAGGGCTGGTCCCAATCCTCCTGACGATGGTGATGATGGTGATGAAGATCCCGACGATGATGATGATGAGAAGTTCAGGCGAAGAATGATCAAGTTTCTAGGTGGTTACATTGATCCAAGGCATGAGGACAAACCCAAGGTCAAGGAGGCTGACACTATCAAGATCCCAGCATTCCCATTGGCAGAAACCTATCGCAATTGGAGAATTAAGACTAGAGAAGCAGTTGTAGCAGCATCGACCGATCCCGACAGTGCTTTCAAGTGGATAAGTGATTCTTGGAAAGAAGAACAGACCCTTGAAGCGCTCCGGAAGGTTGCGCCGTTTGCGACACTTGATGCAAAGTTACTTTCTGCACTCACCAATATCATCACTGGTGACTTCGCCCGCAAGGTAGATACCTTCAAGGAGACTGAAGCCACCGCTGGACGGATTGTAAGAGGGAGACAAGTGTTGTTCATGTTGCATGACCACTTTAGTACCAACATCAAGCACGTAGCAACCTATGCCCTTCAAGATTTGTTCAGCGTCCAATTGCGTGGGGAGAATTTGAAGTCTTTCATTTCAAACTGGGATCAAGTGTTGGCTGGTATCGTCCAGACTCCTGATGAAAGTGTATTGGAGACACTCTTCTACAAACAGGTGAAGAATTGTAAGGCCAGTCAACATGACATGAATGAGTATCATAGAGCTGATGAAGGAACCGAAAAACGGAACTACAGTTTCCTTGTTTCTGCCGTGCGACGCCACCTTGACCGTGAGAGGTTGGAGGCAAATCGTGATCGAGTTGCCAAAGGTCTTTCGGGTGCCGGTCGTCCCTCCGCTCCTGCAGTCGAGGGCAAGACAGGTTTCATTCCCAAGGGGTATTGTGTGGCATGGAATAAGGGAGGCTGTAGCAAGGACAACTGTACTTACAAGCATGAAGACCCCAAGCCACGTGATAGAAGTCGCAAACCCAGCAAAACCAGAGGTCGCTCAAATGAACGTTCTGGTTCTCCCAGACCAAAGGGGAAAGGTAAGAAGATTTGCAAGTTTTGGAAACAGGGACGTTGCGATAGAGGAGCTGATTGTAAATTCCTTCATGAGGGTTCAGTGGGAAAGCCAAGACAAGCTACTCCTGCCCGTTCGGCCAGTAGCGAAAACAAAAATAAAAAGAAGAATCCCAAGAACCCGAAAAGGAAGGGATCCCGAAGCTCTAGCCGCTCTAAGAGCCCCAAGAGCCCGAAATCCCCGAAATCTAAAGGATCCGGGGCCAGTTCATCTAAGCCGTCTCCTGCCGCAGTTTGTCTTGTTGCATCCATGCTTGCATCCGTGTCTCAGGCATTTTGTATCCCTCAACCAAGAGTATTTTGTCCATCGATTCGTTTTGATGATTCACCGGACGTATCTCATGTTAAAGTCCGAGGGAACTTGAGGCCAATTGGAAACGCAGTCACCAAGGATAAGGTTACCTTTCCGTGGGGACATCAGTTTGAAGTTGATCAACTTGCTGTGAATGATGCCGCTTTGACCGGTACCATGTTGGCAGGATCAGTTTCCAATTGTCTTCGGGGAATAGAATGCAAATGCGCCTATTTATGTGACACAGATTTTGGTTGCAATGAATGTATCCCGAAGGGAATCAAAGCCACCCCTGCGGAATGTAGAGAGGACGTGAAGGGAGCGATCAACCTCGAACTTGACTGGATTGCAGATACGGGGAGTGCTCAAGATCTTGTCAATGATAGTGAATTGCCGGATGACTATGGATACTATTCCAACAACCCCATTCGCATGATCACTGCCAATGGTGAAAGTTCGTCATCGAAACAAGGAAAAGTGTTCGTTCCGAAATTAGGCAAGACCATTGACCCATATCTTGTTCGAAGCTCACCTCCTGTCATTTCAGTTGGGATGAGATGCATTGATGATGGTTACGATTTCATATGGAGAGGCTCCAAAGGTGAACCTCCATACATGGTCAAACCCAATGGGGAACGCATTGAGTTAGTTGTCAGAGATTACATACCCTACTTTGCAAATAATTCAAAGACGATTTCCACTCCATCAACTCAGCCTAGACCAAGCATTGCCACCCCGGCATCAGACGAAGCTCAACAATCTCCGGAGCCCGATGGGGACATTGAAATCATTGGTGATGACCCCATGGGTATCAATGTTGATTTACCGGAGCCCCAGCCATTGGAGGCTGAGGAGGTTGATGTCCCTGATGCCGACCGGGAGGTTGAGCCGCCTTTGGAAGGATCTAAGGGTAGCAGTAGTAATGTCCATGATGATGATGCTCACAAAAGGTCACTAGGGGAAAAAGATTTGAAAGAAGAAGCCAAGTCCATTCGACATATGCTGACTCACATCCCTAAGAACCCATTTTGTGACATATGCACCAGAGCTAAGATGTTCAAGCCACCCTCAAGAGCCGTAGGCGGATCAACCAAAGTTAAAGCTGAGAAATTTGGTGACCACATCACCGCTGATTTTATTGTCACCAGAGATGAAGATGAGTTGGGAATCGATGATGAGAAAAGTGCACTCGTCGTGAAGGACATAGCTACTGGGTTTATGTATGTCTACCCCAATGCCAGACGAACCACCAATGCTGCGATCTTAGCAATTAAACATTTTGTTGGACATGAAGATAAGATAGGAGTCTTCTACAGTGACAATGCACCTGAATTAATATCAGCAATGAAGATCCTTCAGTGCCGTCACGTCTTAAGTAGGGACTACATATCTAAGTCCAACGCCCAAGCCGAGAGAGCAGTCCGGTCAGTTCTTGAAGGCACTCGTGTCAATTTGCTTCAAGCAGGTTTGAATCATTGGCACTGGCCACATGCTGCCCGTCATTGGTGCTTCATGCAGAATGTCATTGCAACGGGGGGAGACAAGTCA